TAGTACTCATGACCTTAATTCAACATTGCTATAAAGAGGTGGAAAATTAAATCCATTTTGTTTTCAGTTTAAGTTGCCCCGTAGAGCTGAATACGGTATTGGTAAGTCAAAGCTTAAAAAAATATAGGAATTACTTAGTTTCACAGTAATACCTACTTTAGTTATTTCAATATTTCTGTCTTAAAAAAATTAAATACACATATTTTCTTGATGTTCGTGGCATTTTTAACATTTTTTAATGAATAAAATAAAAGTTACTTTTACTAAAATTTTTTAAAAAATAAAGAAAACGACAAAATGTTATTTTTTTCATGAATTCTCTTATTTTTTAATACTTTTATATAAATTATACAGCAACTAAGTAAACAAAACCCAGCAAATACATCAAATTATTTTAATTTGGGCAGTACTTACACCAATTTGACCTATGTTTTTTCCAAAAGTATGGTGTAAAATTAGTGTAACTGTCAAAAGTACAAAAATACATTGGTGTAACTGCAATTTATTTCCTTAACTAAGACATATTAGATAATTCTTTTTATTTAATCTAAAACCGCGTAGAATTCTAAGCATTTCTGTAAAAACAGATCCAAAAAAGGTTAAATAAGAAAAAAGTTATGTCCGATTTAAGACGAAAAAAAACTTTAAACGGCTCTACTGAAAAACTGTATTTTGTCAGTTACCCCAAGTGAACCTGCAACTGACGAATTATGTTTCTTTTACTTATCCTAGAATTTTAATCGAATTAATTTATTGTGTGAAAAATAAAAACTACTTGTAGTAGGTAATCGCCTCACAACTTTTTTTTCGTACGTGTCTTATGGCAGAATACAATGAAAAAGGCAAATTGTTTAACGAAAGTGCAGTGAAAGTGACTAATGAAATCTATTCGGACACACATGCTACCTTTAATACTAAGCACCTAATTTTTACTTATTGTAAATTCTGTTAAAATTGGAACTTCAATGAACTGATTGCTCTGCAAGTTTTTTTAGAATCGAAATTAAGTAGCTACTAAGTGGGTTTAAAATTAAAACCAGATCATTCTTGCACCATATTGAGATAAGGTAATCGAGGAAACCATTACTTAACAAAGCTTACGATTTTTTTAATGCGTTTATGTAAGTATTACGGATCCCTTAATATGTTTTGGTGGTTTTCTACCACTTGTACAGATAAAAGTGTTGATGAAACTCTTGCGCAGGTGTGGTGCGCACGATATGGAACGTCACGGACGCGTTGCGCGTCGCGTCGACTTGCTATTGACGGTCATGGACAATGCACATGTACAAACTAACTTAGTTCTTACGTAAACAAAAATACGGTTTATGATGCCGTGAAAAGTGCAGCTTACGAGACTGCAACTAATTGTCTCAAATCTTCTTGGTTTGATGCGTTTGTGTGAAATCAGATAATAATGCCTTCTATACTGACGATGTACACCTGGTGTCTTATGTACATATAGTTGTATTAGGTGCTTTGTTGCAATAAAATTCTATAATCTGACTTACAAGCTGCCACTTAGTATTAAAAATAAACGTGTTTTTGTTTTATAGGATTTGTTGTTTTCGGGAAATAAATTTAGTTAAAAATAAATCGTAATTGCAAATTCATGTAGGAATGTTGTCTTACACATTTCCTAGGCTTGGCTTTTATCTACCATAGTTGCGTAATATCAATTAATTAGTAATTCAATCTATTAGTTTGTTTTTGAGTTTAAATTTTTATGTAGATGGCGTAAAAACTGGTCCACGACCGTAATAGAATGAAGGTCATTCCGTAATACATTTTTTCCAATATTTATTCAATACTAAGACTTATTGATATTTTTCTTCTTGATGAAATGGTGAGAACCCTAAACATAATGAATTTGGTTTCATGAACCACTGACCCGAGAGAATTAATTTTAATTAGATCAGGCTCATGTATGCGATGTGCGTTTTGCCAGCGGGTCCACCTATAGAACTGAGAATATTTGTAACTTATTCACTTCTAATAAAATCATATTATTATTTTACTTTATAAATTATGAATAATTAAAAAAAAAAACAGAAAACATAACATGTAGTTACATTATTTTATTAGATCCAATGACCTATTTTAAGAAATTTTCTAGATCACCGTTCCAAATTGTTGCGTAATATTTTTTATCCGATTTTTTCGAAGGTCAGACATACTAGAGTCGTTTAAAACACGTTATTAATATTCTCATTATGCACGTTATATAAACTTTTGTCGCCTTTTAATGAGTTTAGTCTATAGAATATTCGTTGAGAAGTTACACGTGAAGAAGTTAAGATGGTCAGTGATAAAAAGAAGATAGTGAAAAGTGATGATGATGTGTCGTGCTGGAGTTGTTTCACAGTGGAAAATGATGATAGAGATCCAAATCCTGTGCCATTGTCCAAAATTCGTAAAGAAAACCGGGAAAAATTGAAACTATATTCGTTCCTGGCATCCGAATTATCTAAACCTAAAGCAATTTCATTAAAACAAAAAGTAAGTGAAAATTACACAGTTGGTAAAAAATTAGAAGAAAATATGAAGACGCAGCAAATGAAACTGGATCCAGATTTTATAGAAAAATTGCCAGAAGAAAACGTGACAATAATTCATAAAGTACAAATTGAAACTTCAACCCCCAAGCAAAAACACAATGTGAGAGATACATTTTTACCTAAAATTGAAAATAAAATTAAAATATGTGACAGTTTAAGCGTTCCAGACTGTAAAGAGACACAGAAAAACATTAATAATCTTGCTCAACGTGATAAAAAAATTATATCCAACTCAAATAGTTCTGATTCCGGATATACTAGCCCATCAGTGCGTGAATTTCATGAAGCTGAAACAAATAGGGATTCTCTTACAAACAATGTAAAAATTAATATAAGTGATGCTGCTCAACACGATAAAGAAGTTACAATAGAAAATGCAAGTTCAAATGGTTCCGAGTCCGAGTATTCTGGTTCTTCAATAACTGTTCCAGAATCCCATGATGAAAAAAATAGGGACTCTCTCACAATCATTGAAAAAAATATTATTAGTGATGTTGCTCAACAAGATAAAGAAGTAACGATAGACAACGCAAGTTCCAATGGTTCTGACTCCGGATATACTGGTTCTTCAATAACAGTCCGAGAATTCCACGAAGCCGAGTCAAATAAGGATTCTATCACAAAAACTGATCGAACCAAAAGGGATAACACTCCCGTGCTTGATCATTCATCGTTGCCTTATAATTTGAAATCATCTTTGCCTACCTTACACTTGAGTAAGAGCAGCACTTTGACGACATCTACCAAGTCTTTATTTACGGAATCAAATCGAAAACCACTGAAGTCTATTCGTTGGAGCACGCTATGTGTGGATCAAGAAGACGTTTCGCATTCCGAAGGTCGGTAAATTTTAAATGTAGTTTTTGTCTATGTTTGTAATTAGGTAGGTGGAGACGTATTAAATAGGAAAAACTTTACAATTATTATTGTTCGCTGTAAGCTACTTTTAAAACCCTAATACATAGATACATTTATGCATATAATAATTAAAGCTAAAATTGTTTAAAGTTATAAATCTTATAAAAAATACTTTGATGGTCGGCAAGATATTTTATTTCCTATGGAAGCATTGCATTTTGTCGAATTAGAAAAAGACTATACTAAAAGTTATTTTTTCGAATGGTGGCCCTGCTATGAAAACGCACACGTATTGTTCTCTGGGACTACTGCGGGGCTTGTTCAAATGTTCAATCAGTGATATTGCGAGTGCGTTTAGCATAGTGCCGTATCGCGACCGCTATCGCATATCTACGCCATAACAGGAAACAATCCCAGCACACAGGACACGATAATGAGGATTTCATTCGGAATTAACATACAGTGAATTTATTTTGTTCAATTCAGTCGTGTTCAGTGTTTTAATAATGGCGTCATCAACGAACGCCAATTCGGATTTACGTTACTTATCTTTCGGAAATACATCATCACATCCAGATGATGTAGCTTCTGGAAGATATTATCCTGTAAACGTGTATAGCACAAATTCTAGTGACAGAAAACTGACACTATACGACTGTTTGCGTTGTGCGTGTTGCTGTAAATCAAGTCGTAAAGAAGAAATCATAAACTCGCAGATAGAAGATGTACATGCATCATTAGTAAGGCCATTAAAGAAAAGTTACAATTTGCAAAAAGAAAAGGAGAAGCAAGTACCTTCGATACGCGAGCAATTCCAAACTGAAATTCCGGCATTGACGGTCACTAGGGCAGTCGACGATGACTTATCAAAATCAACCACGAAGCTGCTTTTGTCTAGCGAGAAAATGTCAAGTTCAATAAGCCTTAGTACACCTAAATACCACGTAAAAAGAAAAACGCCCAGTGCAAACGAATCTGCTAACTCGAGGAATTCTGCCGGCAATAGCAGGAGCAGTACCCTCAAGTCTGGTGAGAAAGTCTCATTCATTCATGAAATCCTGGAGTGCCGTGACTCCTTCTTGAAGTCTTTGGAGTGGTTCGATAACTCCCTGACGAGGGGCAAAAAGTGTCGACCAGTAAAACGCGACGAATGGATAGAGTTGCGGAACGATAGCGGTACCTTAAGCAGAAAGAATTTAAGGCACCAGTATTAACCGTTTTCGAGCACCTTCTATTTCCTCAGCAATTTTAATGACTTCTACACTTGAGTTTTACATTAGGCATGGTGTTATGTCCGAGACAGACTAATTTGCAGGCTTTTAACTTTCTGTTGATAATTAATTCAGAAATGGTTGAAATGATAATACAAGCAAGTGAAACAAGACTTATTTACAGTTTCTTGTCTGCACTATCTTAGCGAATGTAATCGTACGAGCACCTGATTAATGAATACCATTCAGGTCAAACGGTCGTGACTGCGCTTTAACAATTGGCACCAGTTTATGCAAACAATAACCACACCCATAATTTTATTTTATTTAAAATACAATACGGTGTCTTATTGAAGTTCTTTTTTTGTTTCAGATGAAGTATACGTCACAGAAACATTGTCGCCGGGACATGCCACCCTGCCGAGGCGATCAAACTCCCCGCTACCACACGAAAGGGACATGTTGGACCGAGATCGATTCCCCATCAACAGGAGTGGACTTCAGGTTAGTAAAGATAGTTTTTTTTCTCCAGTTGATCAATTGTCGGCCGTTTGGTGTAGTGGTTCAGAACGGACTACTATGCCGAGAGGTCCCGGGTTCGATTCCCGGCCGGGCAGAAATTGAAATGATGAATTTTAATTTCTGTGACGGGTCTGGGTGTTACTATGTATAATATGTATGTATTTAAAAAAAAGTATATAAGTAGTATATCCGTTAAGCTAGCACCCATAACACAAGCATTAAGTTGCTTACTTTGGGGCTAGCTGGCGCTGTGTGAAATTGTCCAAAGATTTATTTATTTATTATTTATTATTTAATTTTATTTCAAAATTTTCGAAATTCAGATTTATCTCAGTAGTCAGGCCTCATCCTACCTAATCAACGAACTATACCTACTTAGATACGTTTTGCCAGTATAAGAATGATGTCATATCGGGTTTGGTACTTTGGTCCGTTAGGTACCTACATCAGTAGTCCTAGTTAGGTTCGTTTATGGCCCAAGTAGAAATATCTTGGACGAATTCGTCCATGAGAAATATGTGATTTTGATTAAACGTCAAATAAACCAACCTAACGTCCCATTTAGATCTTAAGAGTCATAATAATTTAATAACACAAACTGACTCATTTATCTACAGCCATTATCTATTAGTCTCTGCCCGAGCACAAAACATATCCTTGTATCAGATCGAATATTGTATTTACATTACCGCATAAAATGAAATCATTTTGTGGTGAAACGGCCGTCTTAAACCGGCTTTGTTGCTAACGTAAAGCCGCTCTTTTGGTTCATAGGATAAAAGTGTTGTGCGAATGTGAGTATCGTCACAGGTGTAACCACCAGTATTGTCTTTGCGACCCCGCCGGCCATTGTATATTTCATGTTACTGCGTCTTGCGACATGCCTCGCGAACAACAAGGTTTTGCAAAACATTACTACAGCAAATCTAAATAAATATGCGCGTATTGTATTGTTTGTTTATCGTATACCATTTTAGGATAGCTTATTAACGTTTGATAAGGCCTAATAACAACGATAATGCTGGTTATTTTTTGCACTCCGAAAAAAAGGACATTCGTACTTACTACGAAATAACCCCAATTCAAACACGATTCCGCGTGGGTTTGTTTAGTGGTCATACATAATTGTTAATCATGTCATTGTGAGCGGCGTGTATTGCGACATTAATCCCTTAAAAGTGTGACAGTGTAGGTAGATACGATAAAGCACATTTAATATAATGAATGTGATTTAGGGTTTTGATTGTGGATTAATTTATGTAAAAGGAACGAATTAATTATACATTTGCCTAGGGATAGTTTGTAATAATTAAAATTAAGTTACTGCCCAATCAGGATTGTTTTAATTAATATTGACTTTAGTGTAAAGTACTTTTTACTGTGTTTTTCGTGTGAACGTAAGTTATTTTATAACATGTAGGTAGGTACTTTATTAATTATTTTGTACAATTAAACATCCGACATTCGACAACACCTGTTAATGCTGTAAATTAATACGGTACTCGTAATTCACTAAATTGTATGTTAGCGAGTTGTAATTTTTTTTTACAAAAAACAACAGCGTAAAATTCCGTGTTTATTTATTGATCAAACAAGGAATTACAATACCTACATTTATGCTAATGTATAATAATTAATATACAACGACTGATTTGAATATTTGAAAGAGGAAAATGGATTACAAACATCGAATCGTGTGATATAATGAGTGTACGGTATCGAGTGACAGGCGATAATGCAAGCAAACAGAATCATTGTGAACTCTCTTCAGTCTGCAGTAGGCGTGGGATCAACCCATAACGTGTCAGGTGTATAATATTTCTCTTGATAACTTAAAATATTATAATATAACTATAGTTAAGTACATGCTGGAATTCTGTATTCACCTAATTTCACCGCCCGTTTTCATCTGACTCAGTGTTGTTTTCGTTTCCTGTCTGAACAATAAATTATTAAGTTTTATTATCGATAATATTTAAAGCACAATCTTAATTGAACAATAATATCACGTCGATGACAGTTGAAAACACAACGTTGATTCAATTGATTTATCAAAGTTAAAGATGGCTGCGCTGATGCAAAAAATCTCATTAGTTTCTTCAATTTAGAATAAGTTTTCACAAATAAATAAGATTTGTTTTTACTTGTTACAAATAAAGATAGGTTATTTTATTCGTTTTAAAACTATTTCAGGTTTCATCTATTTTGCTTGTGTTTATGTGGATTTTTTCGTTTTCCAGGCGCGTTCTGAATCCATGGCCTCCGTGTACTCTGGAGCTGGCGAGGGTACCCGCAGCAACGTGACAGTCCGCGGGGAAGTCCAATTCTCGCTGCTGTACAACTACCGCCTGGGCGCTTTGGAAGTGGGCGTCAAGAGATGCCGCGATTTAGCGCCTGTCGACACCAAGAGGAACCGCTCTGATCCTTACGTTAAGGTAAGCAAGCTTAAAATTGAACTACGGTTAATAAAGGTTAAGTTATCGGCAATAACTATCTGCTGCGAAGATATTAATCCATCTAAAAAAGAAGTTGCCTACCTTGATGTTTGTCTCAGTTTTAATGTAAGATGATGCAGCAACCCAGCCTTAGTGACCCCTCTTTTGCCAGTTGGCTCAATTTTTGAATGAAGGAATAGTTTTTTTAAACGAAGCATAGGCTTTTTATTTTTTACCATGTAATGTAGATTAACGACCTACAATTAGGTACAAAATCATTTAATCCAAAGCCTCGTCATTGGACACCAACATAAATAAAGCGGACAACGAACTACTCTTTATGTTTGCTAATTGGAGTTTGATTAAAGACCATACAGAGATAAAAATACACTCAGCCCAATCAAGATTCTATGTAAATAAAGTTTTTATAAGCGTTAATCCGTAACGCTTTGGCGGCCATCGACTGGCCCGAAGTGATCGCCTACATAGGTAACAAGTAAGAATAGTTGTCCTTGTGATACCATATTATTGCTTAATAATGCCAGGAATGGCTATAGTAGGATGTTTCCAAATCGTTCTAATTGAATGAACATTCGTTAAGGAAACTTGATTATTTATTTGAGTTTTATAAGATAACTGCGCGGTAGTAGCTAGGCATTTAAAAGTGCCTTTAAGGCGTACTAGTTTGGAAATATGCGCATGGGTGTGGGAAATTTTGGTTGTTGGACCCAAAGACATACAGATTCCGGGTTAGTTTACCAACTGATATGTTCATAGTCGTAAAGAATCACTTACTTGTTGTAGTGCGATTTGAATAAGGGGTACTTAGTAGGTATACAAGTTAGGAGAGAGAATGTGTAACAAAATTACTACACTAACGCGTCACTCGTCAGTCTGTTTCAAGCCATTGTGTAATTAAAAAACTTTCTAGAATAAATATTTCTTTATTAATGTCTGGCGCAGATTGTGCACTTCGCAAAAAGCGCACTTCTCAACACAGGTTCAAGAATTTGTTTCTCTAATATAATAATAATATAATATTAGTATGAAAAGTGCGCATTTTACGAAGTGCACATTCTGGAAATACAGATCATTTGGTTGCATTTGTATCTCATTTGAACAAAATGTCACTGTCACCTTTCTTTTCCATTCCCCAGGTGTACTTGTTACCGGACAAGTCCAAAGCTGGCAAGAGGAAGACAAAGGTTAAAAAGAACACTCTCAACCCCGTGTTCGAAGAGACGCTGAGCTTCGTCCAGCCGCTGGCCTCGCTGTCCTCGCGGACACTGTGGCTCAGCGCGTGGCACGCCGACATGTTCGGGCGGAACGACTTCCTCGGCGAGGTGACGCTGCCGCTGGCCGACGTCGTGTTCGACGACCCCGCGCCCACGTGGCACAAGCTGCACGAGAGGGTGAGTGGGACTTTACAGGGCGTCGATTGCATGAGTCAAAGTACGATTGTGTGCTCTTTGTCGCACGAATGCACTTAATACGAGAAGAGCGGTACTGCACGAGAGGGTGAGGGGCTGCAGCGAGTGTGACTACAGGGCGTCAGCTGCACGAGTCAGAGCCCGAGTATGTGCACTTCGGCAAACGAAACATGCTGTCGCCTTGCTATCGCACGCGTGGTTGCGTTTCGTCGCACTACTGTGTGCCACCTACTAGGTGGACCGACGATCTGGTGAAGGTCGCGGGAAGAGCCTGGATGCGGGCAGCGCAGGACCGGTCGTTATGGAAATCCTTGAGTGAGGCTTTTATCTAGCAGTGGACCTCATTTGGCTGTGTTGCTATTTCGTCGCACGCATGTGCACATTATGTTGCACCGCGTCACATCGCAAGGGTGTCTGCATTTCGTCGCCATTTCGTCGCACGAGTGGGTGCTTTTCGTGTCAGGAGTATGCATATCCTCTCATGAGCACTACTATGCACTACGTCGCTCTGTGATGAGCCACTTGACATCGCTGAGCTTCGTCCAGCCGCTGGCCTCGCTGTCCTCGCGGACACTGTGGCTCAGCGCGTGGCACGCCGACATGTTCGGGCGGAACGACTTCCTCGGCGAGGTGACGCTGCCGCTGGCCGACGTCGTGTTCGACGACCCCGCGCCCACGTGGCACAAGCTGCACGAGAGGGTGAGTGGAGTAGCTGTGGCGAGTCTGAGTTTGTGCACTTCGAGATTGAGCATTTCAATAGCACGAGTTTGTGCACTTCAGTGCGCGAGATTGTACACGAGTTTGTGCACCTTAATGCACGAGTTTGTGCACAAACGCACGAAATTGTGCACTTCGGTGCTCTATACACGAGTTTGTGTACTTCGTTGCTCTATAGACGAGTTTGCGCACTTCAATGCGCGAGATTTGCACTTCAAACGAGTTTGTGCTCTTCATTGCTCTATACACGAGTTTGTGCACTTCAATGCACGATATTGTGCACTTCGTTGCTCTATTGTATACACGAGTTTGCGCACTTCAACTCGCGAGTTTGTGCACTTCATTGCTCTATACGTGAGTTTGTGCTCTTCGTTGCTTTTTACACAAGTGTGTGCCCCTCAATGTACGAGATTGTGCACTTCACGCGAGTTTTTGAACTTCAATGCACGAGTTTGTGCACTTCATCGCACGAGATTATACGCTTCGTCGATCGATTATACCCCAAACTACTAAACCTTTTTGAGCTGTGTATTTCATGACCAATAAAAACTTATTTATTTCCAGACCGAGCAATTTGACGAGCAGTCCGGCACGCGGGGTGACCTCATCATCGCGCTGAAGTTCGAAGCGGCGGAGGCGCGCGGTAAAGGCACGTTGCACGTCCTCGTCAAAGAGGCCAAGCATCTGGCCGCTACCAAACCTTCGGGACTGGCTGATGTGTTCTGCAAGAGGTAATGTTCATATTAGCAGAGTAAATACACAGTGGCGGCGTAGCATGGGTTGGCACCCGGGGAGCTAAGTCCTATGGCACCCCCCCAGGATTTTGGGGTTACCTACCGATTCGAAGATTGAAAGACGATTGCACCCCCCACCCCCCCGTATCATGACATAGACCGCAGATTTGCCATACAGATGCGCCAGTGAGTACTAATCTGCGCGACTTGTGTCACCCCCTGATGCTTGGCACCCGGGGCGGACCGCCAAAAGACAATGCCGGAAATTGGCGTCTTTTTTTCTTCGCGCGGCCATCGATCAAACCTTGTTTTTTGATTACAAAATAGTGTAATAAACCAAACTTACTATGACATGTATACCTCTAAACTCAGTCTGAACTGAGTTACGAGCATAAGAAGTTTGATGATTTTCATACTAGATTTGCTCTTTGCGCGCAAGTTTTGTAAGAAGTTGCAACAAAATAGTGACATTGTATGTGTAAACAAACAATACCATCCATTAAAGGCTCCAGACATCAATAAGCTGCAGAATCAGCGCAATAAAAAAATAGCGCAATATTTTGTTGCAATTTCTTACAAAACTTGCGCGCAAAAAGCAAATCTAGTATGAAAATCATCAAACTTCTAATGCTCGTAACTCAGTTCAGACTGAGTTTAGAGGTATACATGCCATAGTAGGTTTGGTTTATTACACTATTTTGTAATCAAAAAACCAAGTTTGGTCGATGGCCGCGCGAAAAAAAAAAGACGCCACCTTCCATACAAAATCTGGCATTGCCATTTGATATTAGTTAAATACAAATGAGTAGGTCATCTTTATAGAATTCGGCGCAACCACGACTGGCTCCACGCTAAATTTTGTCAGTGTGTGTGTTGGCGCGCTCACATACAAACTGCGCCCGTGCGCGTCTATGAAGATGACCTACTCATTTGTATTTACTCTGATATTAGTCAACAAGTTATCAATGTAACACCGATTACAATCAACCAAATTGGAGAAGAGAGGAGTCGTGTTTGGAGGTGATGTGGAAATAACGAAATCTGATTAGTGCCAAAGGTACTATTCCGAAGTGGGCTGCAAAAAGCAGTTGCCCATAGCATCTTTACACGTCTATAACATTTCACAAAATGTCTACGAGCTCCTAGCAAGATTGTTTTTTTGGGACAAACGAAGTTTAAAAAAAAGCTTGTAATAGACGCCTTATTTCTAACTTCGTTTGTCTTCAACGCCAGCTATTGTTGCAGACATTTTAATCATCTTTAATCACAACAACGCTAGTGTCGAAATCCTGTCAAATAAGTGAAGGAGCTGTTCAACTTTCTAAGCTTCCATGTACTACTTGCTCACCTCACCAGCTACTTTTTGCGTCTACGTTTTACGATTAAGAGTAGGTATACTAACCTCATATTCTCCTTTCCAGCTATCTCCTCCCCGAGCGTGGTCGCCTGGCCAAACAAAAGACGGGCGTAGCGCGACGCACGCTCAGCCCGCGATGGGAACACACCTTTACGTACCGCGGCCTGCGTTTGACAGAGTTAGCCGATCGCGCGCTCGAACTCAGTCTGTGGGACCGCGACCGCCTCGCTTCTAACGACTTCATGGGCGCCATCAGGCTCTCGCTTGGCTCTGGTAAGTAAAAGTACAGACCGCAATAGAACACACCGTCATGTACTGCGGCCTGCGTCTGACAGAGCTAGCCGATCGCGCGCTCGAACTCAGCCTGTGGGACCGCGACCGCCTCGCTTCTAACGACTTCATGGGCGCCATCAGGCTCTCGCTTGGCACCGGTGAGTAACAGTACAGACCGCAATAGAACAGACCTTCACGTATCGCGGCCTCCGTCTGACAGAGCTAGCCGATCGCGCGCTCGAACTCAGCCTGTGGGACCGCGACCGCCTCGCTTCTAACGACTTCATGGGCGCCATCAGGCTCTCGCTGGGCACCGGTGAGTAATATACTTATCCTGTATAGAACTATACAGTCCGCAGAAGAATAGCAACAGGGCATTTGACACCACTATTCAAAACGTGTAGCTCAAGCGTAGTCTGTGGGATCGCGACCGCCTCGACTTCATGGGCTCATGCTTAGCACCAGTGAAGTAATCTGGCTAAATATATCATTAGATAGTAGCTTTTACCATCATCATTTACCTACCTAAGTCAATGGTAGTCCATTACCGGATGTAGTCCAAGTGTCTATCACAATACAAAACGATCTCCCGTCGCGAGTGTTCTATATCATATTCGCTGAGACGCTGTCTTTATTCGGATACTCATTTATATCGGTCCTGCAACATAATGGTTAAATTAAAACTTGTCAAATCGTATTATTAATTAATTTTACTAATATTTTGTTTTGTCTTCAGGCACATACATGGGCGCGAGCGTGAACTGGATGGACAGTACGGGCAAAGAAGTGTCCCTATGGCAGACCATGATGCAGCGCCCCAACTTCTGGGTTGAGGGCTCGCTGCCACTGAGGCCGCAACTCAACAACTAAACGCCACTCACGCTTGACCACTTTGAGAGTAATAGTTCGATGAGAAGAAGGAAAGAAAAAAATTCTGCTAAGATTTAAGCTTGCGGTGGTCAGGCTGTGACATCAGAAATCCAACGTTGTTGTACAGTAACTGCACATCAACCTACCACTGTCAGATTTATTCAATTGTGAACTTAAAGTACCTACTTTTACGGATTAGGTTGATTTGCTGTTATTGTACACACCTCACAAGTGTCAACCACGAGGAATTCAGATTCCTAAGGACCATGCGGTCGACCCACAACGGCCACAATACTTCGTCCTATACCGTTTTACTTTTCGTATTTCAATAGGCTACATGTAATTTTAAATCGTGATAATATACGGCACCACCGTTGGTATACAAGCTCTTTGCCTACGCACTTTCCTATTGTCAAAAAATAAAATAAAATGCGACGTCGCGTAGGAATAGGGCCGTACTTAGCGAGATGTACCACCGGTAGTACTTTTAACTGGTTTTATTACAGTTTTACTTTTTGAAACAATTTTGTAGAAAGTCGTTATTACGATGACATCTTCAATTTTATTCTTCATGCAGCAGAAACAATTACATTTGAAGTATCCGATTATTATTGTTTTTATTTTTTTTTATTAATTCGATATAAATCCGCCTTAAAGTAACAAATTGATGTCAATATTGTACTTAGAAAATATAAAAGTACATTCATTCCACAAAGTTTTTAGAAACCTATTGATTATGATTATTAATTTTAATTTATCAAATGCGACGACACATCGAATTCGTGATATCAAACAAGTATCTTTTTATAAGTATTACAAAAATTTCTTTATTTTTACTAATAAATCTACCTACTTAAAATATTTATTCTATTCGCCTTCTTCCTAATACATAAGTGCCAACTAATGTAAAGATACTAAATTCAAAATACTATATTTTATTAACTTCTATTCTATTTTATTACTGAAACCTATGCCTATCAATATCTACATTAAATATTTTAATACATTGGATAGTTATAGAATTTGATGTTACATTCCAGTTTTAAATATTTTCCTCTATAAAATTATATCGAGTTAGGATTTATATAACGACAATAAATAATATACATCGCGACTTATAACTGCCTATAAGTTGTAGGACTTAGACTAAACACTAAGTTAATGCATTTACTGTAGAAGTTATATTGTACAAACTAAGTTCACATGAGTTTTATAAGGTCTGCTCATGCGTATTGTGATTTAATTAATTGTACACATTTAGTTAATAAGTATTGAATGGTGTGAATGTATCATGTTCTAAATATGTTGTATGAATAATTTTGCGAGCTTTATGTTAAGATTAACTGCAATGAAACGTCCATAGTTTGTATGATGAATATAAGATTATAATAATGCTCAGGTTGCAATACCTAATAGGTACAGGTTTATGTCTTATATATTTTTTATATAAAATATTGCGAAATGCAAAACAATCAAAAATAAAACAATCAAATAAAAAATGTCTATTATTTCTGATGCCCTTTATCAACTTTATTTAAAAAAAAAAAATTCCTAAAGATGTAATTTTTTATATCCACATGAGGAAGCTCTTGGTCAGCATCTCACCTCATGGAAAGTGATGATCAGGCCGGTGTATTATTTGCTACATATTTTACTACTACTGTATTTATAGTAGGTACTTAATTTCGTGAAGAACCTTTCTTTCAAAGACCAAACTCTTCTTTAATTTTGCTGAACCAAGACGTCTAAGTTTTATGAGTGTGCTGCATACCATAAATAGGTTGGGCGGAAGCTATATGTTTATTAGCCTTATACTGTCCTTGTTTCTATCAACGAAAGAACCTACCTATTTTTCTAAACTTAAATACCTAATTCACCATTTCTGTGTTTAACGCAGAATCGCACTTTGCAAATTAAGATCTTTTTAAAACAAAGGCTGAACAATTTCTACTATCGGCCATAGTTTTAGCTACCCCTTTCCGGTCATGTTGTCTCGTTCTATCGCAAATAATCACCATTTGATAAGAGCGAGAGAAAGAATGGAAATGGGTAGCTGGAACGTTAGTCTATAATACGTAAAGAAAAGTGCGTATTTTGCGAAGTGCACATTCTTCAAGCCAACGACGGCTTTCCACTAATCCCCGTTGACAATCCCTGTCAACGGAGGGATTAGTGAACTTTTTGTTCATTAATCTCCGTTAACGCCAATGAGGGCTATCGTTTTAGCGCTCACCAGTAAGGCCTCAGCCTCGAACTTAGCGGGCAGCGGGGCGGGAGCGGCGGCGGCGCGGCAGCGGCAGGATCTTATGCGTGAAATCAAATAGACCGGTTCTCGAAAACAGCGGCGCGGCAGCGGCGCCGGAGCGGGCAACGAGCGGGCAGCGGCGAGGGAGCGGGCAACGAGCGGGCAGCGCACTCCTTCTTTTGCCCACAATAAATCGAGCGTTAGGAATAAATTTGAATCGAAATAAAATTGTCGCCGTTGTTCAGACATTTCGTTTGCGAATAAAAACAAATAATTATCTCGACAATACAAACCCCGAACACAACACTTCGCCGCTAAAGCGCCCGCGCGAGCTGCCCGCTGGTTTCGAGAACGGGTCTGCGTTGCCCGCCCCGCTCCCGCGCCGCCGCCGCACAGTGGTCTGAAAATGAAGCTCCCATACCATAGAAACTTAATGTCAGAAATTAATAAATAAAAATATGTATTGTGTTTACTATACCTCCCTTTGTTTTACTAATATNGCCCCTTTCGGGGGCCCCCACCACTTAAGCACAACTCGGTCGAAGTCGAAAATTTAGGATAGTCTTAATGAGTAACAAATGAAGCCATTAAAACAATAAAATCTTTTGTAGGAATTATTTCCGATTTCAAATGTAATTCTACTGGCCTATTAGGCAGTTCGATTTTTTAAGTTGTTTATTTAATCAATATTGATTTCTATTATTTTCTTTAAAAGTCATTAGCAGGTTAGTAACTACTAACAATGTCAGTTACCAACTGGTTGGTTACTTCATTCAATGATTAAACGTTTTATTTTTTTATATTTTCAAAATAAAAAATATTCAAAAATATCCCTAGTATATTCTTAGTTATATGAGTATTAATTTACATACTATTCTCGTATTGAAAACAATTAATAACTTCATAAAATAACATCAAAGACTTGAAAAATCACCGACTGAAAATTCAAAATTTCCAAAGCTTGGTACATGCAAAGCGGCACCCAAAGGCACAAGAATTGTATGTCATTTTGATCGCCGTGTATGGTGCAATAGCTCATGTGAGTACCAGCCCTTCAGTTCTATTCAGTTTAAAAAAAATCGACTTTAAGTGTTTTTTTCCATACAAAAAAAATTAAAATATTTTTTTTCTCACACATGGAGCTACTCATACCCTTCATACTATATTAGTAAAACAAAGGGAGGTATACTAAACACAATGCATATTTTTATTTATTAATTTCTGACATTAAGTTTCTATGGTATGGGAGCTTCATTTTCAGACCACCGTGCGCCGCCGCCGCCCCGCTGCCCGCTAAGTTCGAGGCTGAGGCCTAAGCGCCACTGTAGAGTAAGTTCCTGTCACTTGCTAGTAGCGAAGACAGTGGCACCAACTGGTGAGCGCTAAAGTGGTAGGAGGACTATCGCATTTGCACTCATCAAGATGGCGCCACTGTAGAGTAAGGTTCTGTCAATCGCCAGGGGTTCCAACTGTTAAGTATAAAAACGATAGCCCTCATTGGAGCATATAATGGGGATTAATAAGCCCAAACAACAATCCCTAAAATTTTTGTAGATTATTTATCTGGCAATACTAATTTTCACTGTGTGTAACTGATTGTTTTCACAAACAATCATTCGATTGTTCTATGTTCGATGTTAAAAAGCTTGATATTGAATGAATAGACGACAACAATAATGTAAACATTGATTTGTTCACTATCACCTTTTCATTCAATAGATTAACATGTGAAGAAGAAACAAAACAACGCTAAAACACTCAAATATCATGCATGCATCTTGCTTGTATAGTAATTTTTAGTCTACCTACAACAATAAACATTCTATCCGATATAATGAGTAAAATCGAATAAATTCACATATCGACATTTCAGATTGAATGGCTCATCACTACTGTCATAACCAGCCAGTCAAAGAAGTGTCAAAAATAAGTTGTCATTCGTTCATTTGAGGTTGAGGTTGTGTTTGATTGTGTACAAAATTAACTAAAGATTTCGAGCATTTTGTAACAGAAAAGAAATATTATTTTACTTACTAAATAAAACCATAAAAAAAGAATGGCGAACATGCAGAATATTGCTTTTATATGCTTTGTTCTATCAACGGTTACAATACAAACAGGTACGTTAGGGCGTTGTTTCTTTTTTAACGTTTACATTCAAGTTTCAATTGTTTTAATTAATGTTATTTTACTTTTAGTTAACTCTATAAACTGTTATCAGTGTTCAGGGACAGATTCTGATAATCCCTTTGACTGTAATGAATTCTTAGAGGGGGATACTGATCTAGACCCGACAGACTGTGCCACTATACATAACGCTCAGTATTGTATTAAACATGTAGGGAGATATGAAGGTGAGATAATGGGTGCAGAGGTTAGGCAGCAGAGCATAACAATACTAATGTGTTTCCATTATTTATAACTAACTTACCGTAGATAATTAATATCATTTATGAACGGGGCTGTGAATGTTGATAACATGCATCAAGGGAATAATGTAGGCTAAGTAAGAATTTTTGCATAACATAACAATATTGTAGTCTTTTATTAACATTTCATTTAGGTATTGCGATAGATTGCTACCAGTGTAATTCGTCAGCGACAATGGAATGTGGTGATGGTCTGATGAACCTGGACGGTGGTATTTTGAAGCCAACATCGTGTGGGCATGTTTATAACGCTCAGTACTGCATCAAACAGACAGGTGTTTACTAACAGGGTTAACATGTGAAACCAAATTGTAATGAATTAGCCAGATTAGTAAATAGGGGTTTCACAAAAAAAATGCTATTCACTTTAGATATAAAGTGACTAAACCCCAAGATCGAGGTTTAAAAATGATAAAATTAGGTGGGTTTTAACAAGTAGTACCTATTACGTCAAAACTACTACTTTTAGTCATAGAGGAGACTCTAGAAAAGATAAGTATCAATGAGATTTTAAGATTTGGCAATTCATTTATAGTTGGTTTCTTTAACATATATTTTTATTTATTTTAAACTTTTTATTTATTTAGAATATACTAATCCTTTCACATCATGTTTGGACAATGGAAAAGCACAAAGCTTAGTCTAGCACAAGCACTCACTAACACAATGGGACTGAAATGTTAATTTCTACTGGTAAGTATAAAATGCATGTTTATTATATTTTGCAATCAGGATACCAACAAAGGATATAAAAATACTATGCTTTATTATTGGTCTGGTTACAATGTATTTGGTGTTGGTTTGACAAAAAAATATGATATATTGAAATATTAATTCGTTTTTAAACTTTTAGGTGGTATCAGTACAAAGAGATTCTGTTCATCTTTAGACTTGGGTAACTACTGCAATTATGTACAGCAAGTGGGCGATAAATTGGAATACCGGACATGTATCTACACTTGTGGCTCCGATGGGTGCAACGGAGCCAGTAGTATGGGCACGCCTGTGACAGCCATAAGTATGGCCTTATATCTTTGCAAATTTTTGGCCATGTGAATATTATTTGCTCTGAATATTCCAAAGTAACAAGAATGAATTTTAATTTTACTAAATGTAATATCAGATTTATTTTACAAGTATGTACATAGTTGAAGCGATTTATGTAGAGTAATATTGACAAAGTAGTACCTCTTATTATTGTACATTCCATGACTAATAATGCCGTCCTTAGTGTGTAGTTTTACAACTGATTTAAATTTATGTAATAAGTAAGATTGTATAGTACAGGTATTTATTTAATCATAGTATTAATTCTTTCAACATTCTAGCTATTTTTAAAATATCATCTGTACAAAATTTTTTTTAATTTATCCTGCATTGGGATGTAGTAGAGCCAAACAACTATGGGCAGCCAACATGTAAGAATACAGTCGTTTTATCTTTTTGTGTGTGTAATGTGTGTATAGATGCGTAATTTTATATATTTTTACATACAATTTATAAGCAGCATCATGTAGGAATAATTATACAATTTTAAAAATGTAGGTACTTACCCCCTTTGATGAGTGTAATTGAATATCAAGTTGCTTCAAGTGCCTTCAGTCACAACACACAATGTTTGAAACAAATTTTCATGTTTCCAGTGCAATAATTAATAATAAATCTGGGAGTCTGGAACGTGTCATATAATACCCGAATACTTTATTACTATCTTTATACATTTAAACTTTAGAGCGCGTGGCGCTACCGGTTTTACGCATTTCTCTACTACCCGACTTTTATATTTTTTGAAAATTTTTAAACTCGTGTTGTTTTTAATGTTTTGACGGTAGACAAACAATGTCAGCGATTAATCCGATAGAGAACGACCGCCGGAGGTAAATTTAAAATCCGATTGTAAACGACTGACTAGGTAAAAACTTTTTAACTGTAATAACATTGATTCTTTTGCTATAAAATTTTGCCAAGAGAATTAAAATGTTTTATAACAATGTTGTGTGGCGTTTTATTTACCTATATGAAGAGTTCGAAGTTCTCTACATTTCTATATTAGATATAAACTAGATTAGGCGCATCAAATAATTACGGAAATTTAAGCTAGGTAGAGATTACATAATTTTGTAACAAATCTTGGACTTGACTGTTACATTTTGTTCTAAATTTTTTATTTATAATTGTTAAATATTAATGACTTTTTAAGTAGCCTGTATAAAGAAATGAAAAACTATGTCAATGTTCAAACATTTATTGAAAATTTGTGCTACAGAAGCTTGATACAAAAATACATAATAAATATTAACACCATTTTAGCCAAATTATAAGTATTGATTTAGCCAATACATATGAATAATACTTTCATTTCGCTTATCAAGCTAAATACACCAAATTAATATGGAATGTAAAAACATTTGTTCTTATTTTTTAAATCTACCGTAACAGTGTTGTATCATAAAGTCATAAGTTTTCAATAACATAAATACCATTGACAATTTATTGATAATACAAAATTGGGTATTAGAGTTCAGTTGATAAACCAACATGATTTTTATACAATAAAATAAGCTTACCTACACATACCTTCGCACTTCAGAAACCAATGAAGCCTTAACGTTCGTTAAATATTTAATGACAAGGCCTTAGCACCTGTTATAAGATGTATTATTGTATGTATAAGATGCCAGCTTCACAAATCTTAGTTCTAAGTACTATGTACATAAAAGTTCAGGTAACTTTTTTGTACATTTTCCCACTTCATCCATTATCAATGTTATGATTATATTCTAAATAGGAAAGTAAATGCCGGCACTAATCAAAACTTAATACTAACGTAATATGATATTATTATGTCATAGCTGCAAACACATTCATAAAAAGGTAACACAACATTTTACATAAACATGTAAATCAGACTAATAAAAAAATCACTAACAAGATGTCTAACTAAATCATAAAACTGAGAATATAATATTCATGTGCTTATTATAAAAGGTGCTTCCTAGCAACTGGGACATCACAAAAACACATTCATCAACAAAATCCATAACAACCCTGATATTCATTGCACATGCTTTTTTGTCAAAAAAAGTAAAATCACAAACTTAGAAAATACCTATATAAAAATAATTGTGACAAAAGTCATGGATAAATCACATAATTATTTCCTTATTTAGTTTCAGTTTTACAGTCCTTTTTAGGCCACGGAAATCAAATTTGTATTACATATTTCAGAATCCTCGACTACTAAAAACCTAAACTTATTGTTTTCAAGCTGTATAGAATTCCTGGAATGATTTGTTGTTCCCATTTAAACGTTATAATACTGTAAAATGTACCTCGAACGTAATAAATAGAGGTATTTGTAGAACACTATGTACATCTAGTGATTATATCAAAGTAGTTCATTATAAGTAAGCATTTTTAAATGCATTTTAATTTTGTGACAAATAATGCATAAAGTCGTGTAAGCTAGCAACAATCAGCATCTAGGGTCATTTCGCCTGTTCGCGTCCATTTAGTGCAGTTGGCAAGTTTGACGGCGATAATAAAAATGCCCCAGCACTCATTTCTATGACAAATTTGTGTAATGTATTCATTATATATTCTATTTTAAGATTAACTTTCAGTTGTATTAGAAACATCTTGCGTTTTCTTTTTAAATAGATAAACTTCAGAATTAGGCGTTATACCCAGTTTGCGTCCACAAAATCCAAATTGCGTCCACCCGTGGACCATTTAGCGTCCAGCAGCTTAGAAAAGGAATATAGGGGTGATATTTTTAAGAATTATTAAAGAAAGATTGTATTTGAACAATTTCTTTATTTAACAATAAACTTAATTATTAAAAATCAACATTATCATCATTTAAAACTCACTTTAAAAAATAAAAATAATTCTTCTCAACATTTGTTTAAGTANAACCATGCAGCGCGTGTGAGCTTCCTTGTTGAACAGCCGAGACTAACTATTTTTCTAAACAGGAATGGTTGGACGCACAGGACTTTTGTCTATGTGTGCGTGCCTCTTATACATTAACGTATTAGCGGTAATGACTTTTCGTTTGATTGGTGTGTTAGTTGACTTGTTTTCGAGGATTTTTAAAAGGAAATCGGCAAAATGGACGCGAATTGGGCGATGGACGCGAACAGGCGAAATGACCCTACGTATTTGGCAATGCTATGCGGGGTTACGCTACACTAGCATCGAACTAGTTCTTACCTTACCGATCGATCACAACATGAGCAAGAGAAAATGCGGATACATAAACATCGCATTCTGCCCTCATATCACAACTGGCTACACAATAGACAGTAAAGTATATCGCTAGAATGCGATTACGAAGACAGCGCGTGACTGCGCACCGAAATACAGAGCATCGAAGGCGTATTTTCCTTCCGAATAACAGATGAGCAATTGAGATTCTATCGTCTCTAGTACAGCTTTATCTAGGCGCTGTTAGAGCAGTCATCTATGAAGACCTAAGTATGTGGCACGTTGTTTGGTCGTGTCGGGAAAGTTACGAAGTTCATGAGTGGCACGACTTCGGTTCGATGCTTAGAAAACTCAGGCTAGTATGTATTCTGAGACAGCTAACTGCCTTTCTTTATATCGAATTTTTTCATCTGGTTGACTGACTTGTATTGCCAGTTTTTACCAAGAAAGTAATAATTTTCCACGACACGCAAACACTATGTTCATTTCTCCCTGCCGATGTTTTTTGGCACGCTATATTCGACTTTTATCACATATCCGTAATTTCGAAGGAGTCGAAGTTGAAATTACGGACACCGTCATGCATAGTAGGCCCTTTGACGATGAAGGAATAACCGAGGTATAATAAGGGTAGGAAAAACCGAGACAAGGATTCAATTTCGCGAACGGAATAAAGCGCTGTATTGGCGGGTTCAATTACAAGTGAGCACGACTCACGCAAGGTACAAGCGATAATACGCCTTACGAATGTAGACATAGAGGCGTGGTACATTGGCGTGGCGGGGCTTACGAGCCGTCCCTCTGGATGAGCGCTTGCAACGCGGCCACGTGTTGTTCTAGTTCCCGCACGCGTTGTTGGCTGTTTTGGAGTTGTCGCTTCACGATTCTCAACTCTTCGCCTTGGCGGTTGAATGCTAGGCGCAGCTGGAAAATAAAAGTAAAATGGTTTATATTTGAGTTGTCGAAATAATAACGTCGTAATAATTAAGAAGCTTATCTTTCCATATTGGCTAAGTATATGCCAACGAGAGCTTCCGTGTTTGTTTTTTAGTTGGCACTGCTGGCGAGTAACAGGACCTTCGTCGCCAATGGCGCCAACCTGGTTTTAGACAATAGATTAAACTGGTCAGAGCTAAGCTGTAGTCTTGATTGATTTACATGTAGAGTGTAAGTGGAGTGCAGAATGACTTCTCTTGCTACTATAAGCACAGAATAATAATAAGTACTACGTACTGAAGTTTTACTTCGCGAAGGTATTTAAAAAATTGTATGCTAAATGTCATTAACAATATGGTGTAATTTAGCCTGTCTCAAGAGTTAAGCACTATTTTGTTGACAAACATCAGTGATCGGCACTGTGACGTGAGGTGCCAAACTGCGGAAAATGGCGGAGGAAATACAGATTTAGCATGAATTATCATGAATAATATTAACTACTTATTTACCTCTCAGTGTTTTGAGGCAACTTAAAAAAGTACATTCTGTGTTTTTATTATTATTTAGGCAGTTAAATACTGCACAGTATTTAGTACACCATTTTCTTTATTTTCTTCCATCATACACAAGAATACGCGTGCGTGAGTCAATGTTCGCTCGTATGTGAGGCCTTGTCGAATAGTATCCTGTAGGTGGGCCATCGTGCGTGTTTTGTTTTCGATGTAAACTCGCGGAGATGAACAGGCCTGCTATTAGGTTATTCTGTGACAGCCGCCGTCTTTGCTTCATTCATTTGATCGACCATCAGGGGGCTTGGTGTGAGTTTACATCAAACTTATTCGATATCCACTGGATAAAAAAAGACATTAAACATATGACGGATTGTATAGCGCTCGTAGCGGATATTTTCAAGAACTAAAATCTTCATAGATTTGTTTTACGCACTCGATATCGAATACATTTGATATAAACTCACACTACGCCCCCTGGTGAAAGTCGTGGGAAGTACCTGTACCTCTAGTACGAAAAACTTTCGAGTTCGTTACGTTTGCGTATTCAAAGTGTCATCGAAAAATTTTGTATGAAAAATTAAACAGCGCCCCCTAGGGCGGCTATAATATAGGGGGCACTGTTTAATTTTTCATACAAAATTTTTCGATGACACTTTGAATACGCAAACGAAACGAACTCGAAAGTTTTTCGTACTAGAGGTACTGAATGCGAGCATCGCAGGACCGTTCGATGCGGAAATTCCTGGGGGAGGGCGTTGTCCAGCAGTGAGTCTTTCGGTTGAAAAAAGGGAACGAGAGCACTCTTTCCTTTGCCTTGCAGGCAAAGGGTAGCTGTCATTCTTTAAACGAGAATAGACAGATAGATGAACATGTCACCAGCAATCTCATTAACCTTAGAGCAATTCTGAGTATGCCATAAATAAAAGCATAATTAAAGTCATCAAGCGTCTCAGTCATTAATTTAGCTTACACATAAAAAACAACTCATAGTCATGAAGTTCTAGTGGCTCTAAATTAATGAGTGAGAGGTTTGATGACTAATTAGGATTTTATTTATGGTATACTTAGAATGGCTTCCTTTGAGATAGCTGGAGACCTGCAGGTGATAGATAGTATAGTTACCTCGTGCTCGGTGCTGAAGACGTCGCCCTGGTTGATCTGCTTGTAGAGCGGCACGGGCTCGGCGTCGCCGGCGCTCTTGCCGAACATTCGCTGCAGCTGGTGGAACTTCGTGGTTTGGTTCGCGTTAGTTTTCGCAGACTTCTCGGTCACCGTCACCTGAGCGAAAAAAATAGAAAATAAATTAGTTTTGTGGAGCTCAACTACGGTGGTCTGGAATAAGTCACACGGTGCGGATCAGTGGAGGATAGGTCTTGAGTAGGTACTACCACAGAATAATAATAAGTACTAGTACTACCTACAACTATAATATTAAAAATTATGTAGGATTCATTCGACGACAAAAAAAAAGTAGTGACAGTAAATCAACCATATTTGTTGCAGAACCCTTTCCACATTTCAATGGATCAATGATCTCTAACTTGGTAACCTATTGGTTGATAACTTCTTGTTTAATCATAAAATAAGTATATTAAGTGATGAATTTCCCAAACCTCCCCATCCCCAAATGTACCCCTTCCCTTAGCATAAGCCTATTTTTAACTCTTTATCTTATATTTTAAACGCGGAGCAAAATGTATAACTTAATCAAACAAATTCTCAGTCTCAAAAAAGTACTACTAATCTTATTATAAAAAAATTCCCGTGGATGCAACTGAGAGACATCAATTCAGTTGAAAATTAGGACTTCTTTAGACAAGTCTCAGGGAGTAGATCAACGCCATATGCCTCTTTTAAGATAGAGAGGTACTTCTGCAGTGGAGACCTGATTATGATAATTACTTGTTGTCACTGTCACCGACCTGTGTATCGTCGGGCGCGGCGGGCTGCCACGTGGCGAGCGGTTCTTCTTGCGATTGTTCGCGTCTTGCGGTTGTAGAGCCGGCGTGTCTTTGTTGTTCGTAAGTAACCTAATGATCATGATAACTTGTTGCTTGCTGCTCTGAGCTGTTCTGCGATTATTCGCGTCTTGCGGCTGTAACGCTGGCGTGCCTTTATTGTTTGTAAATGACCTGATGATGATAAGATGTAGCAGCTTTATGTTGTTCTGGGGTCACTGACCTGCGTGTCGTCGGGCGCGGCGGGCTGCCACGTAGCGAGCGGGCGGTAGTCGGGCGTGGTCTCTCGCGACAAAAACGCGAATTTCTTGCGATTGTTCGCGTCTTGACGTTGTAAACGACCCTGATGATAATTATTGCGGCTGTGGACGGTACTGGGGTCACTGACATGGGTGTCATCCGGTTGTCAGGAGGCGAGTGCGGAGGGTTTAGATTAACTCCATTTGCTCTATTGGAGAGGGTAATGTTCCTACAGAGGATACTAACAAATGTTTCAGCAGTGGAGACTAAATGAGCTGCTGATGATGGTGGAAGCTCGATCGCGCTTTGGGTCATTGACCTGGGCATCATCGGGCGCGGTGGGATGGTTAAAGCCTGGTCCGTGAGCACGTACAATCCCGTCCAATGACCCCAAGCTACCCATCCTTATCGCTCGCGCGTAATTATATTGCTGTCGCGACTGTGCAACGCGCGCCCGCAGTGAGTGTGCGAGCGCGACAGCAACATAATTACGTGCGAGCGACAAGGATGGGCAGCTTGGGGTCATTGGACGGGATTCTACGTGCTCACGGACCAGAGCCCCGATTACGGTAATTTTTAACGTCTCCAATCCAGACACGCTTCTCGATTCTGCGATACGATTGGTCGTTCAACAGCGTACGTCAGCTGTTTTGACCAATCGTATCGCAGAATCAGAAACGCGTCTGGATTGGAAACGTTAAAAGTTACCGTAATCGGGGCTCAGGCTTTACTTATTACGCTGGGGTCACTGACCTGCGTGTCGTCGGGCGCGGCGGGCTGCCACGTGGCGAGCGGACGGTAGTCGGGCGTGGTCTCTCGCGACAAAAACGCGAACTTCTTGCGATTATTCGCGTCTTGTGGTTGTAGAGCCGGCGTGTCTTTGTTGTTCGTGCGCGGCTTGTGGGTCGTTATTGTTACACCTGGAATGAAAAGTTGTTACACATATTTATAATAAATCCAAAAGTTATTAATTTGCTATAAAAATCGATATTTCGTAACAATGGAGGAAAGTCAAACCTTAACTTCGAACTCTCTTCGAACTTGACCTTCATTGGTTTGGTTTTTTCAAGCGGTGGGAACGAGAGGTGGGAATAGTCCCAATTTCGTAACTTTGAAATTATTAAATAGTTAATCAATTGTGTTCGTGAATTATTGACGTCATAATAACTCGTCTCTGCCATAGCCACGCCATAGACATAGGTACAAAAATGTATAGACTAAGAGCTAGTGAACGCCAGACTTACGTCATTTTATAAAAGCTGAAAGTTTGTCAGCGTATGCTCCCAATATAGGATATAATGTTGGTGAATTATGAAGTTTGGGTCGTGGTGGCTTTGGGAGCTACCCTAAAAAAACTGTCTGGCAAGGAGTTGGAACTGTCAAAACTGTCTGGCTGTTGGGGAAAATACTTGTAATTATTGTCCAAATATTATACATAAAAATCAGATTTAATGGTATAACGTTAGTAGAATTACAGTCTATTGAATATACAGAAAAAGCCACCGTAAAAGTAAGACTTACGTTATACTGTAAAATCTGATTTTTATCCCAACTAATATTATAAATGCGAAAGTAACTCTGTCTGTCTGTCTGTCTGTCTGTCTGTCTGTCTGTCTGTCTGTTAGTTACGCTTTCCCGCTTAAACCTCGCAACCGATTTTGATGAAATTTGGCATAGAGATAGTTTGAGTCCCGGGAAAGAACATAGGATAGTTTTTATCCCGGTTTTTGAATCAGGGACGCGCGCGATAAAGTTTTTCTGTGACAGACAAAATTCCACGCGGGCGAAGCCGCGGGCGGAAAGTGTATAATATTTGGGCAATAATTAGAAGTATTTTCCCCAACAGCCAGACAGTTTTGACAGTTCCAACTCCTTGCCAGACAGTTTTTTTAGGGTAGCTCCCAAAGCCACCACGACCCAAACTTCATAATTCACCAACATTATATCCTATATTGGGAGCATACGCTGACAAACTTTCAGCTTTTATAAATTGACGTAGGTCTGGCGTTCACCAGCTCTTAGTCTAGTATTCTGCCAGCTCATAAAAAGTATGACTTGAGTGGTGGTGTCCTCAATATTAACCGAAAGGAATAAGTCAACGCATGATTACGTGAACATATAATGTGAGTATACACACAGGTTGCGATGACAACAAAATTTGTATTAGCTTATTTATAGCCTGACCAGTGGGTCTAGACAAAGTGCAAATTATAATCGCAAACCAGTCGAAAAGTGGTCGAAAAGCCCCTTTTTTGTATGGAGTTTTGACGGATTCGATTATCGATTCGATCAAAAAGTGCGTTTTGTCTAGGGGGGCAGGAACATAAAAACCCTGGCATAGAGGCGCGTCAATTGCATTTGATAGTGCAACACTGAGTACAGTCGTACCTGTGTTAAATTAATAGGCTAACTTTATGTATCAGGATTCAGGATTACGGGCTAATTTGATATTTTCATAAATTAACGAAAAAATATTATTATAGGTAACCTGGTTTAAATAAATTAAATGAAACCATGAATCGACCTAGTAGGATTTATTTTATTATTCATCTATAATCAAATTCAGTACTTGAATAATCTAATGCAATGTCTGCTCATGAACGCTTCAAACTCGGTACTTCTTTCCCAATTCCATAAAATTCAACACTTAGAAAGTGACAAAAAACTTTAAAATAGGTAGTTGAAACAAACCACAGCTAATTTTCATAGTGGACTGTACTATACGATAAACATGTCAGTCAATTTGACAACCTTTGTTGGAAACATTAATCAATGAAAATATTGTCCGAACCCTTAGTATTTCTCTTCGACAAATACTTTAACACATTGTGAACCACTTTTCTTTCACGACTATAAAAAGATTTTAGCAATTTAATTCACAAAATCAATTGCGCACATTTAAAATAAAGTTTGTTTACACTTTGACAGCAATAGACTGACGTGCAAGGTGACATGTCATTGAAGTTTTCAGTTACTGTTGCCATTAAAAGAAATTAGTACCATTAGTTTTCCGCAACATGGCGAGGGTTTTTATGTTCCTGGTCGGGCTATAGCTTACAAATCTAGCTAATTTTATTAGTTAAAAGATATTGAGAGAGACACTTGCCCGTCCTCATGCTGATAAGCAGCGGCTGCGCGTTCATGCCGTTCAGCCAGTCGCGCGCCGACAGCGCGGGCAGCGGCGCCGCCGTGTCGGGGTATAAGTCCTCCTGAAATGGCAATGCCAAAATTTTGTATAGAAGGTGGCGTCTTTTTTTTTTTCGCGCGGCCATCGACCAAACCTTATTTTTTTATTACAAAATAGTGTAATAAACCAAAGTTACTATGAAATATATACCTCTAAACTCAGTCTGAACTGAGTTACGAGTATTAGAAGTTTGATGATTTTACATACTAGATTTGCTTTCTGCGCGCAAGTTTTGTAAGAAATTGTAACAAAATAGTGACATTGTATGTGTAAACAAACAATACCATCCATTATAGGCTCCAGACATCAGTGTGGAGCAGAATCAGCGCAATAAAAAAGACGTCACTATTTTGTTGCATTTTCTTACAAATATTGCACGCAAAAACCAAATCTAGTATGCAAAATCATCAAACTTCTAATGCTCGTAACTCAGTTCAGACTGAGTTTAGAGGTATACATGTCATAGTAAGTTTGGTTTATTACACCATTTTGTAACCAAAAAATATGGTTTGGTCGATGGCCGCACGAAAAAAAAAGACGCCAATTTCCGGCATTGTCTTTTGTTCATTATTAGGCATTTTCACGAGTTATTATTATTATTATTGGTTTATAGGCCTTCATTTGCGCCAGCTCGACCAGGTTTGATCTATTGTGGCAGCCCTTGTGTTTAGAGTTCACTGCTAGTCCCGTTGAGTCTATAATTTCCAGATTCTTTGGAGCGTGATATCTGCTATCTCATCCGGGTGCGATGTGTCGCCCGAGATGGATACTTCTTTTGCTCATAAGCGGGCCGCATGAGCCGCAATTTTCACTTGTTAGACATGTATGTAAATAGGGAAGTTTGAGCCTTTTTATGAATATGATCACATCCTATGTATTCGCTGGTAACACACACTTTTGAGACACTGTAGTATCTTGGACGTCAAGATGTCGCAAAGCTTAACAAACGCTGTCCAGCCGAGTTTGATTCGACGATTGAGCTTTTTCTAGAAGTTGGACCTACCTACATAGGAATGGGTACAAAACGTCGCATGCTGCTATGACGTGTAAAGTACGGCCAACTAGCAGCGACACAAAAGGTCGATACGACTGTCGAGTTGACGATATATTCTGTGTCTCCATCTTGTGTATGTATTTGTCGTAATGTCTCGTTCTCCCGCCAAAATATGTCAAAGTCAGACGGGTTCACCCATGACATTGGGTTTGTTTATATTATATTTGGTATCGCTTCTCGTTGGCCGTAGTTTAGTCAGGTTTGAACTTACACCATAAGGGCGTTAGCTTAAACTCTCTTATGCAGTTCTGAAGCGTACAGCAGCCACAATAGAAGCTTTTTAGCAGCTGTAGGCTTTAACATAATATTTTTAACTCTCTTATGCAGTTCTGAAGCGTACAGCAGCGACCATAGAAGCTTTTCAGCAGCTGTAGGCTTTAACATAATATTTTTAACTCTCTTATGCAGTTCTGAAGCGTACAGCAGCGACAATAAAAGCTTTTTAGCAGCTTTAAGCTTTAACATATATTTTTAACTGTCTTTTAAAGCTATAGACTGCAAATGGGTTGTAAAATGAACTCTTATAAAGCCTATAGTGGCATTTGGTTCAGTTTCTGCTACCTCTAGTGATATTTACAGCTATGAGCTGCTACGGATGCAATAATAGAACCTAAAACTTCTATATGAACCCCTAAAGCGCTACTGTACAGGTAAAAGTTGCAAAATAGGCTGCTATTTCCACTAATGTGCTAGTTGGGTGGCACCTGCCATGTGCGTCCGCCTATAAAGGCAAGGAAATGCACGCTCGTGCCCCGTCCCGCGGGTGGAAACCGGCCACACGGCTTCTGATACTATTTTCCGATACAGTCACGCGCGAGTTTTAACTTAGGTCCTAATGAAGTAAAGTATAATTGAATGCTATGTAAAATAATTATGCTATATACATATTATAACTCACCTGGAAGCAATCGGACTTGCGCGGCACGATCATGGAGATGGGCTCGCAGAGACCACGCGACGTGTGCAGCTTGTAAAAGCGGAACACCTCGCACGCGCTAGTATTCAGCCCACGCTTGGGCATGAAGCCCAGCCCGCGCTGGAATAATAAGAGATGTTAAGATAAAATTTTATTAACATACACATACTTAAAAAAAATAATTATGGATTTGCCACATTGGATGCGATCTGAGGTCAGTGGGCTGAGTGTGAGTTTAAATCAAACGCGCTCACTAAAAAATGTATGAAAATTTTAGTTTTGAACGTTTCCCGCTAGGAGCGCTGTACAATCCGTCATACATTTAATGTCATTTTTTGACGCGCTCTCTAGTTTGATGTAAACTCACACTAGGCCCTCTGGTCCAAGTGAACGCAGGCTGCCATCATGTATGAACAACATTCTCGGTTTCTAGTACGGATGCTTTGACAGTGCGGGTACGAGCAAAGAATGCAAACTGACAGGTGCGGGCTACGTTCTGAATTTGACCCGAACACAGACCGCAGACCGCAACGCGAGTGTGACAAATACTTTAAGTTTAAAACGACAATAGCCGAACGGTGAAGTGTCGGTGTGGCCGAAGCACGCGGGATCGAAAACCGACGCCGTTCGACGAACCCACTCGTAACGAGAATATTTAGCTAACCACGAGGGGTTCACGGAGCTATTATTAATTTGTGTAAATTGTGTAATACAATTATTTATTTACTAATTAAGAACTGACTAAAGGGTGTCTGCAGTGGTACAGATTATTTGAAGTTCTGCTCAAACATAGAATAAAATAATTATAAAATTACCTGTGGATTTCCTGACAGGAACTGATTGAGAAAATGAACGTATGGCGGTTCTTCGACAACTTCGTAGTACCTAATGTTCCCGTCACCCTTGCCTGCAAGGTAGACCTGGAAAAAAATAGTTAAGACTCAGTTGATGTAATTCTTTAGACATTTTATACAGCGCCTCTAATCCCTAACTAAGCTTGTACGCTGCTCATTTAGTTTAATAACAAGAAAAACGTTTAATTTGATCGTACTTATTGTTCAATTTTTTTGATACCAAATAAATGTTTTTTTTTCTTTCTTTTTAATTAAACTGTTGAATATTTTACACAGCACCTGTAGTTTAATGTTATTTATTTTGTTTAGTCGAAGTCAAAGCCAAAGGAGTTTTGTTTAGTCAAAGGAGTTGTTTATAATTTCATGAACGGCTTTTCTAGCTAATTTGTTCAACACGATATAATTAAAAAGAGAGAGAGAGAGAAATCTGGCTCTTTAGATTACTTGTAGAACTTGCTACCCACCATCTTGTTGTCATAGTCAAAGTACGGAAACACGATAGGGATGGGGACGAGGACCTATGGTTTCGCAAAGAACGTGTCTAGATAATTGGACGTTCAACGCAAGGTAATTAACTTCGTTTTGTAGCGAGCGAGCGAGCCTTTGAACTACTTGTTAAGCCTGGTCCGTGAGCACGTAGAATGTTGCTGTCGCGCTCGCACACTCACTGCGGGCGCGTGTCGCACAGTCGCGACAGCAATATAATTACGCGCGAGCGATAAGGATGGGTTGCTTGGGGTCATTGGACAAAATTCTACGTGCTCACGGACCAGGCTTTAGATGCACTACTCACCATGTTGGTGTCGTAGTCGAAGTACGGGAACACGACGCCGGAGGAGCTGTCTATGGTCTCGCAGACGAGCGGCTTGTCGAGCGAGTGCTGCTCCCACACGGCGTACTGCCGGTCGCTGTAGCGCGAGAAGCCTGTGGTCAAGACTTTGCCGCTGCTGCCTAGGAAAGTGCACTTGGACGCTTTGGTGCCTTGGTGGCAGATGCCTTCCTAGAAAATAATAGAAGTAAATGATATTATAGTAGTATGTTAAATAAAGTGATTGGCATGGTATAACCCATCAAGTAAAAAAGATTTTTTTGGGGGGTTTTCGAGGCCTCTTGACTCCATAAAGAATGGATGAAAAAGTAATTGCTGAAGAGTGAATCAAGAAGCAATTAGCTTCTTGATTCACTCCCGAGACGTAATTTTTGCGTTCTGGTATCAATTTAATTTAATATTTTATAGTCTTTAAAATTCCTATGTATTACCCCCCGCTAACTGTGAGTTGACGTTAATTAAATAAGAAATCACTTTCGTTATTTCCCGAGATGTAATTTTTGCGCTGACCTGAATATCTAGTTGGTATTGATTATTATTGATTGATCGAAGTTAACAACAGTAGACAGCAAATGTTTGGTCATGATTTGCTCCTTGCAATATTTTAGTTTGTTATTACTGTTACCCAAAAGTTTTTGTACCAATTTATTAATACTTATAGATACTTACAGACAGAACTATGCCTCTCCTCGGTTCGATAATGCGCAGTTTCTTGTCCTTACTGGTGGTAGCTAGCAGGGAACCATCGCGGTTGAACGACATGCAGTAGATGACGTCAGTATGGCAGTCTATGACGCGGATGGCCTCCCCTTTGCCTACGTCCCAGACGAAAATCTGGAACAAAAAAAATGGTTTAGATGCAGGGCAAGAAAGTGAAAAAAGTTAAGTTACGAGTACCTACTGTTGAACAAAAATAGTATTTTTGTTGTTGTAAAGTAAGCTAGGTATACACACTTGTAACTTTAGGGATTGTGTTTTTGACGCTACATGTTATGTTATCTGTAACACACGTACCAAATGGATATTTATTTTTTCAAACAACATTATGACATAGCCACAATAAGAACCTATGACATCATTTCTTCACGAAATTAATTAATTAATTATTATTTTATAGTTAATGCAAAACAAAAGAAAAATAACTAGTGGTTTTTTTTTCAGAAAAAAAAAACTGAAATTATTAGGTGTAAACAACAAACAACAACCGTTCATTGTGGAAAACCTTGGGGGAGGCCTTTGTCCAGCAGTGGACGTCATTTGGCTGAAACGAAACAACAAAATTAGTGATCAAATTACCTACACCTGGAACATTATGATAACTGTTCATGTCCAATAATACTATCAAATTCAATATTGTTGTCGAATGCACCGTTTTTGTTACGGTATTTTGGTCTCATTTTTGATTGCAATAAAGTAACGGTCCAGATTATCATAGTGGCATTTTATATGCAAATGAAATTGTTAAGATAACAATTAATAACGTATCGCCACGCGATTGGAGCGACCGAAAAGATATCATAATCATTACCATTGGATTCGCGTGTCTTAGAAATATATATCAGTCACGAACGATGCTATTCCAAAGACACATAAATGTATAAGCTGTAACGTGTTAACTGTTACAACTATACAGAGTATTATGGCTATGTAATGATATTAAAACATGAGTGTTCAATTGAGAAGTATTTTGTTGCTTCTTAATGAGTTTGTTTAGTTCAAAAGAGATGTTTCCTGGTTAAAAATAAAATGTATTTGAATTAGTCCGTCGGTTAACTTATAAAAAATATTCAACACGTATTTCTCACTTTTTCAAACTAATGAAAATTATTGAAAAAAAGATAAGTTCAATCGGAGACGTCACGCGGAGCTTCAAAGCATCATAACTTCGTAATTACTTTTTTAATTGACAAATAAAAATATACGTGTCCAATATTTTTTGACATGTAATTAACGGACTAAGGCTGGGTACTTTAACTTTAACAAACGTCAAAAATCTGTCAAACTCCATACAAAAAACACCGGTTATCGTCAAAGTTAAGTGGTGCAACTCAGCCTAAAAGTTTTTTTTAGGAAACTAGCCTATTCTTACCAAATAGTCGAAGCCTGCACTGAACAGGATATTTTCAGCGATGGGGTGCCATTCTATGTAGGCTACACGGCGTTTGTGGCCTTGTAATTCCACCAGCCAGTCTGTTAGGTGCATAGATAGACCACCATCTGGGATATGCCATAGCTTCACCTGAAATAAACAATTTAATTAAATATAAGTTATTTATTACTCTATTTAATAAAATAATTGCAATTTTTTTATTTATTCTAATTACTGATGCGTAACGGTTAATAATAAATGAAGTGCTGTATCATCCAAATCAAATGTAACACTTTTAAACAATAAGATTTAGAGTAGGCGCACACCGTTGATTTTTCGTCGGCCGATAGTTTAGTCGGGCAGTTGATCAGTAAGGGCATGTATGGGAGTGCGCACACTACGCCGATTCGATTTGGCCGATTCTTCATACAAATTAAAATCGGGCACAACTATCGGCCAACTAAAAATCAACGGTGTGCGCCTACTCTTAGCTTTAATCTTTTATCTGGTAGCTAAATTGTTGCAAAGTAAAAATTGAAAAGATAAAACAAGGTTCAAATTAATCTAATACTTTTATCGTTTGCATTAACTTGCACAGAACGTAAGTAGCAATAATAAATATTGCTTACAGAATAGAAAAGTCATCATTACCCATCTGTTAGGTAAAACGATGTTAAAGTGTTAAGTGTAACGTTTCGTCTTGTAATTACACATTTCGACGTAACTACAATCATCTTGATGTTATCAACACGAGTGGTTTACGCAAGCAACGGCAAAAACAAAAACATTTCCACTTCATACAAAAAAACAATGATGTTTAAATTGGTTCTATTATTTCTGTATGAAGAATTGAATGTCAATAAGGACAGTGGTAATGGATCTACTTTAGACAATAAAACTGTTGAATAAGAGCATGATCTTCTATCGTGTAACCTTGCGAAACAAACGCGACGTAAAATCGACGCGACGTCAGCATGGCCTAAAGTTTCCAAACAATTTGTCAATTGCCGGCTTTTTTGCACAAACTTATAGCTATCAATTTGTTTAGAAAAGTCTCGTCGCTCTCGCGTCGCGCTATAGTCACGTGTGCGGTGTAAATGCGGAAACCATACGATGCGATATGATAACGAAATCCGGACATAGCAACACGCATAGCAATTATAGGAGATTATTGACTCAACGAGATCAACGTGCAAACTTTCATATCAATATGAAAACCGACAAATTGGTCAAACGGAACTTCCCCGAGTAATGGGCAGTAATTTCCTTGAGCAAACTGCGCGTCGAACAAAAACTAATAAATTGGAAAAGCAAGCGTGAGCCACACTTTGTATTAGCGTGAGCGAAGTTCCGTGCTGTTATCAAATATTGATTATTGCAATCTAGACTAATACATAGTACTGTCGCATATAAGGCGTATATTGCGGGCTCAGTAGAATTTTACATCAGTGGGACAAACGTAATTTTACAAATAATAGGTACCCAAGTTATGTTAGGGTGCAATATTTGATACCTTCTTCACTGCAGGACAAGGAACCTCTAATAAATCAGAGGTAAATGGAAGATTTGACCTACATTCCGCATACGGCTATCAGGCGGTTTGGCACTTAGGTAGACTTGATGTTTGCTTCGCATACTTATTTGTCCTATAGTTTTTGCCACGGGGGAGTTGAAGTGGTCCCATTATATTCTAGCGGAACCACACAGCACAAAACGACACAAGTAATTACAGGAAATAGATTTAAGATAATGCCTAATGTAGTATAATGAGAATATTTTGTATCATTGGACATTGCCCTCAAATAACCAATCCTATGTATAGACCACATCAAGTAAACACAGGTATTTTATGTAGTTGCAATAGTACCTATTTTGCTACAACAATGTACACACGACAGCACATTACCACATTACGTTACCATTTTTGTTGCAAACTCACCACTATTACAACTGCACAAGAACCCGCAATGGTTATCTTGACGTGCCGTCGTCTGTACTTATACTTTGATGTGCATTGTACCTAATTATAACAATCATTACCGTGCAGTCATCGGAACATGACGCGATGATGTTGTCGTTGAATGGGTTCCATTTGATGTCCAGCACTGGGCCCTTGTGACCTGTCACCCGGCTTGCGTTGAAGTCTAGTCGACCGGTCTGAAACAAAAAGTTTGATTATTTATCTCTTTATACTATTAAAAAGTATATTATGTTTTGCAATAACTATTCCCACCGTTGCAACTCCTGTGTAACCAGGATCTACAGCTTTCCCGGTGCCTCAAATTGGTCCCGGTGGAAAGTTAAACTGTCATTGGACCCACAACGAAATTAATCAGAAGAACATAGTTCTTTTGATGTTTATTTTGCAATTACCAACTTTTAAAAATCATTTTTTACGTGCCAGTATTGCAAGAATAAATACTATGCCAGTATTTTGGTTTCGTTCGTGTAGAGTTCGGTTTGTTACATGATCGCACGGGCGTCGCTTGATCAAACACTATTACCAAAAGCATACAAAATAGTTCATAGCCCTAACATGAGACCAGCTTGGAATACAAATTTTCATGCCCTATTTTACTGCCCTATAGTTTATTTTTGTGACAAAAGCTAGATTTTGGCATTATCTTATCTTGTCCAAAGTAAATTAATACAACATAATTAATTTACATGCTTAACTTTTATTTTGAAAGATGGTAATTATAATTAATTTTGAAGATCATAACGCTTTTATTCATAAAACGACGTAACAGTGTGCAGTCACGCGTTATTCAAACCTAATATTAATAATTACATTAATTGACTGTTACATCTTTAGCGATGCTGTACATTCAACTATTGCATTTGCCGAGATTTCCGTGACAATACAACGAGATAAAGCAGTTTTGTTGTAATTACACCTGACAGTTACCCGCGTACTACCTCGTAAACGTTTCACAATTAAATATCAGATATGTGTTAATCTTTACCAACTATAATAACCACTTAGCTGGTGCAATTGGTTCAGCGAGCAATGCGCCTATTCGATACTATTTCGATTCGATTTCTCACGCCCATTGCGGCCGTCTCGATTATATCGCACTTCGTGTTTGGGCTCATAATTAATTAAGTGAAGCATTCATAGTGAACAATAAGTGTGAAAACGGTATGGAATATTACATTATGCGGCGGGGAATGAATGATGAATAATGTCATACGTGCGAAGGTCATTGAATATATCTTTAGAGAAGGTGTGGATGCATGCAGTGCATCTAGATGAGAGATCACAATACGACAGTAATTTAACTAAGTAGGTACATAGAATGTCATCCAGTCTCACATAAAAATATTTATGTATAAGTATTATTAAGTATCCATTTAATAATGATATAAGTCCATACGTATGGCAAATTCCCTAACTGCATTTCATTGACGAAAATCCTCCTGTGCACCTCAAAATTTAATACAAAAACTAAAGTATTATCTTCTAAAGAACAAATCATCTTTTTCATCAAATCATTAACCAATTCGATATCAATCAATGAGTTATTTACTTACATCAAGTCGATTTTTTCCCAAACAAGACGACGAATATTGATACGTCTTTTTAAACGTCAAATCTAACATCATCACTAAGGATTTTTTTATTCAATTCTTTATTGTTTAATCTCGACTACTGAATACTGATATTTTAAAACAAAGCAACAAATACAATTCAATACCGCGTAAAGATGAAAGAGAGAAAAGATTGGATCTATGAGAAAATCACTTAATCTTGGCATACATCGCTTAATTGTGATCGATAAGACAATTGTCTTATGAAATGATTCATCGCTGTGTGACGAAAGAAAAACACTTTTCGTTGATTGAATGTTTTTGCAGCCGAGAAATCTTTTCCACAGTGTGCGGCATATAATTTAGTTATTAATAATACAATGAAAGTCCGGAAATAAGTTTTTAATCGGAAAAAAAAGTTGTCGATCATGTTTTAATTAGTTATAATTTCTCGATGGATTCTCATCATCTCTCCTAAATGACGGCAACAGGTTGAACAATTTTGGTATCAACCAATGATATTATATAAAAACAAAAGCAGATATGTTATAAGCGCTCGCGCTGTGAATACTCAAATACGTCCCAATTGGGACGTCTTGTGTTTAGTCTTCGTGTGGCCTGCGTCGTGCGCAATCGCGTGCGTACCACACCGTAAGTTCCTGTTCTTACCAAAATAAATAAAAAATGCCATCGTGTGTGTTTCGAAAGTGTACCAATTATGACTCTAAAGTAAACAAAATACAAGGGATCTCTTACCACATGTGATTATGCAAAATTATTTAGTATTTATATTTTCAATTATTTATGCAAACAATCAAGACGCCATGCGCCATGTTCAAGTTAAGAAAGAGAAAGCGATCTTGTTTTGACGTTAGAGCGATAAGGATGCGTGCGCTGCGGACATAGATTAGTTAGTGCAGAATCGTTAAAACTATAGCTATCTCTTTCATTTGCGTGCTATTTCGTATCTTTTGTTTCACTTATCAGTTACATTTGTCAATGTGTGCAATTTGGAATAGCTCGGCACGGATTCAAATCGTAATTTCTATGAACGTAACATATCTATAGTTCTTTAATATCATTGGTATCAACGAATCAATATTATTGTCTTATCTAATTGATTACGGTGATAGTTTTTAATGATTCGATAAACAAATAAGTAATATGTTGCAAAGTAATTGAATTACGGAATCGCTCGTAATATAATTATGCTATTTGATTATTTTCGATTACAACGGGTTATCTTGATATACAGTGTAATATTTGCAACAATCATGGGTCTGTTAAGGGCCACACTGAAGAAATCACCCAGGGAATCAGATTGTGCTCTGGGACATAGCGAGAAATAAACTCGATGTCGACAGAATAACCAATATTTCTGTAGCTTAGTGGTAAGTAGTAGTCGCCAAGCGAAAAATCATGGGTTTAAGAGGGTCCTTTCCCACGGCTATCCAGTTTTGCGGGACACTGCAAACGGGATGTTTGTGTGAATGTTAATATTATAACACGGGATCCTGCAATAAACTGGATGTCTCGGTGGGAAAGAGCTCTTACTTGAGGCACGACTTTTCAAGAAAATCATCTTTTAATGTGGGAAGCTTTCTTCTAGTACCAAAATAAACTTACGTGATCCAAAGGCAGCACTAGGAAGGCACCTCCGCCAGCGACCTCTGTGACGATCGCCACAAACTTGGGGTTCACCGCGCAAAAGTTGGAGTCGTGCGCATTCCTGGTGATCTTTATGTTGTCATAGCAACGCTCCCTTTTGAACGACACCCCGTAAACATGGCGGAATTTGGAGCTTCTCACTCCTCGGAACCATACCTGAAAGATTTTTAACATCAACAAGGATTCTTCGAATAGCAGTCTTACTCGTTATTAAAAAAAATATACAAAATTTCTTTGAATATCAGTAATTTACGGTTTATTTGAAACTTTTTATACCGATATAAAAGATCTAACTTTATTTTCTACATCCTGAGTTACAAGAAGTCTATTTAAGATTTGCCCCTGCATACATTCTACGTTCTTTCTCGGAAATGAAACGGTAAAATAAAATGTAAACGCACTGGCCTTTTTCGGTAACATTACCGATTTAGATGGTTCACTGATTGATCGTTTTAAAAGTAGATCTTTGCGCACATTTACCCTAACGACTCGGAACAGGATTGTAAATCGATTATGCAATGAATAACACATTCGTGATTTACTATTTTAGGAAGCCAATTAAAGTCGAAAACAAAAGGTTATCTCTAATTGGTGTTTTTAAATATTTTATTAGTTACTAAAAGTAACAATAACAAAATTAAATGGTGATTATATTGAGACGTTCCATAAAATTATTAGAATGCATTTTTATAATACAACAATACTAAATAAAATACAATAAAAATGAACGCTATTTACTATTATTCTGGAAGTGCGAATGTTTTTATAATTGCACGGAACAGAACAAATATGAATTTTATTAATTGCTAATCCAAAACAAATGGTCACAAATTCTATTGAAAACGAAATGTATAAACACTGCATAATTCGATCTAGTTTTTACAACGCTATTGTATGGAAATACATTTACACTTATTAATTCTTGAAAGAAAAAAACTAAAATGATAACTTCATTTAGTCAAAAAATATTACATTGAAACATGCACATCGTTATTTGTAAAGGATTGATCGGAAATCGTACTTAATCGTAATAATAATAACCAATACAGAACCGTAATTTTGTAAAACCGGAAAAGATAATTAAGCAAATAACTTCGACTGTTTATCATTAAAAGTTAAAACACACGTTCCTTATAAAGTTGTAATGTATGCCAGAATTTTGTTACATACTTTCAATTCGCGTGTATTTTTAACAGTTTAAAACGTAACGCGGCTTTTACTAAAAGCCAAAATAACTGCGATAAGCGTGACAAATCATGATCATAATAATTTCACTTTATCTCAAGTTTCTCCAGCATTGATACAAAAAAACTTTATGAATAAATAATAAACATAAGAAGCGCGTACATATTATACATAATAAATAATTAATGAACCGGCTACCACTTAACTAAATGGCAATAAAATACATAATGGTTATTCAATAGAAAGTTTACTTTAATTTTGAATCTTACTTTGTATTTCATAAGTATTTAAACTACATTTATTTAAGACTGAATAATTATCGTTATACAGTTCGTTTGGTTACTTTTTAGTTGGTTAATTAAGGACGTTAATAAAATACAAAGTTAATTGAAATATGACCCAAGAAAAGGTTCAAACTCTGAATAATAAAGACGTCTATGAGGAGAACTAAGAGAATTGGATTTAATTACCATTTACGTAATGGAAATTACGCCTTGTGTTAATTTACGTGCTCTACTTTTAACATTGTAATACTTTGTTTCAGTTACAAAGAATTCATTCGTATTTTGTAACTTATTATGTTGTTTGAAAATATAGAGCAAAAATACTGTTTTATTAAACATAAAATAACGTTATTTATAACTAAATACTTAAATTAATGTTAGTGCAAATAAAAAATAAAATGAAGTAGGTACCTACCTGTGAATTAGTCATTGTCGTCTTCGGTCTACTCGAGTGCGAATATTCAAGGCATGCACTACTTAGAGGCTTCCAAACTATATATTTTTGTGCATTTTACTAATAACCATGTACACAAATAACATAAACATCAGCTGCCCACAACATCACGCACAGTAACTTAACACTGAAAGTTGCAAAGAAATAAAAAGGATGCATTAAAAATATTAAAATGTAACATAAAATAAGTGCGAAAGAAATAAAAAACGAAAATGTAACACTGGCGACTACACTCGTGCCGGGTTTTGAACAGTGTGCGTTGATGACAGAGCTCAGTCTCAGAACGGCAAGGCGCGTGTCCCAGGCGCGGGCGAAAAAAAAGTGAAAAGATACTTGTTACAAAGTCGTTGCCGCCGATGATGCTGAGAGAAATTCAAATTCATTGACTATTATGTGCCGATCAAACACTTGTTACAGTATATTAATATGATGTAATAACATTACATAAGACCAGACATCCAAAAGTAATGACATGTGTTTAAATAATGACAATTGAAGTAATGTAGAGATATAAAATGCATAGTAAACGATATCCAAAATGTACCCATATTGCCTGTGATGAAGTATTAAAGCATATTCGCCTTAACGCACATCGATATCAAATAAAATAAAAGTAAACAATCTAACATGCTTCAAAATTTAGCAATGTAACACTTTCCCTGTTCGACTTCAAAGACAGCATTACATGATGATCAGCAAAGCGTTGCAGAAAAAAAGAAGACACTACCGTCTACAACTAGCACTTATGTCATGGTTCGCAGATTAAAATGTAACGCAAACATTTAATATATGCGGTGACGTAACACCTGGCGGTTTAACGACAACATCATTTACTTGACCATGATTTGCCAAATTATGAATGCCGAGCGTTTTGGACCAATTTTCTGTTATTAAAATAGTAATTATGTTTTTAACGTTACAATATTCCAAGACTCGAACTAATGACACTGATGGAGTGATGATTGACCGGCTGGAATTTATAATAAAGCATTCTGGGAGCTTAATAATAGTAGTCCCGTTATTTTTCATTAGACTTCAGCGTTAATGTAAGTGGGTCTAGCGCATTAGCGATGTAATGGAAAATACTAGGTCATAACATTAACATGAGGTATAAAACGAGCCAGCAGATTAACCTTTCATTTCTGATGTATTTTAATACCTACTCTGGTAAAATTTTACAACATTTGATTGTAAAACTTTATTTCTGTGAATGCAATTTCAATGTAGAGCTTATTCGTCGATTTATTTTTTGAGAAATTAAAATGTAAACGATCGACAAATATAAATTATAAACGGAGTTGTATTACAGGAAGTCACAGATAAATATAAAGAGCGAAAAATAAAAGTTTGAGGCAAAGCATATTTACTTGTTGAGCTTGGCTCTACCATGCTACGTAAGGCGATTTAACTTAATTCCTCTCTTGTACCTATAAAAATTAAAATCATATCAGGTCACCAGCTTCTGTCCAGCAATTCAATTCTGAACTGAGGAAGATATTACACATTTTTCAGATCGAATATTACTTTATTTAGTACCGCAATTTATTCGGTGCGTGCGTGCGTTACAGCGATCCAGAATGGCAGAGCAAATTTTGAAAGGACCACGCCACCAGCACATAAAAATACCATTTTCATAACTCCTAGAATTTCCGGCATAACTGTTAGTTAATCCTGGTGCTTTTATTCAACGTAAAATACCACGTTATCATACGGTATTCTCATAGTGCACCCTACACTCGCGCGCGCATTGTACCTATCTACCTACATTTCGTAGATAAGCGAAACAAAAGCCCTCCTTCAAAAGGGATAGTGGAAAAATCCAGGAGATAATGAGTGTATTATCAGTTTGTATAACGAAATGAATGCTTTGTCACAAATGGGATCTGCCTGCCAAATTCCAATAGATTTTTTTACCAAAACAGTCTTTTAAAAGAGCTGTATTTACCTAGGTTGTAAACGTTTAGAGTAAATACCATGATGAACTGTTGATGTGGGATCTGGAGGTAACTAAAACGTAGTACAACTGCCTTGAACAACTTCGTGCCCAGTTACAGAGTTAAATTATTTCACTGTACTGTCTCTAGGGGCCTGTCCTACACTGACTTCCTGCAGTTGGTACTCTGTACCCTCCATTAGTAAACACGCATTGTAATAGCAATTTACTTTCTATTTGTAAATTATGATGGCTAAAGCATTTTCCTGTGTCACAGTTGGCCACAAAATAAAGATTCTTTTAGAAACTAACTGCATACCAGAGTTAGGTACTAATTTATAATTTTTTTATTTAAATATTTGCATATTAAATAAAAAATTAGGTATAGAGTTTGATTAAAAGCTATAGAATGAGAAATAGTATTCAGTGTTATTAATTAGTATCACTGCCTTTCATTGAGTTTTTAAGGGCATTCTGTAATCTATTTACAAAATAATGATTAAACATTGAGAATGATAAAAAACTTTCTCTTATTAAAAAAAGGCTTGTTAAAGATATGAACTAGAACAATACAACACAATTTTAATATTATTATTTCGGTTCACAGTTGTGCTCCCGCAGAATTGAGGACGTAAAAGGAATAATAGCTACCAATTTAAACAAAGAATAAGAATTATTTTTGTCTAAGTAAATATTATTATAAAAATTCAGATTTAGTAAGACCTTAGTAAGACTTTCAGCGGATTTAAGTGTGTTCAGAAACATTTTAGGACGAGAGCATGGTTCGTCAATATTGTTACATGACCTACCTAAATTAATTAAATAAATTTATCACTAAATGGGTCACCAATGGCCCAAATGCAAGAGATTAGCTGTTGTTTTCAGTGTCATCGCAGTCATTACTTATTAGTCGTAAAAACATGATTACTATTTTGTGTCACAGCATTAATTTTACATCAAAATAATATTTTTGTGTATGTTTATTTGATACAACTCAATTTTTTTATTCCCCTGCATGGTGTTGATAATTTAACGATGATATTTTAAAATCTCCATTTGAATATTATTAAATGTAAGTTTAATTTTAAATTGGTAATAAAATGCATTTATTGAATGAATATCATAAAAAATAATGGTGTGCTTAAAATCAGGGAATAGTGAAAATTATAATTTAATAGATTTTTGGGTTTTACTCATATCGACGATAAGCTAATACAACCAATAACATCAACCGACAGTTATAAGAAACCGTGCAAATAAAAACAAATGAAGATTAATTAGAATAGGTCCGATCGGATTTTGGAAAGATAAATAATAGAACAGAATTAAATTGATACGTGTCATAAAACTAAAATAGATTAGAAAGTTTTATAAATGTGATGCAAAATGTTTCTTACCTTAGCCGAAGGTTTATTACACGCTCTTACATCGACGAGAGCACCACTCTTTCCTGGGCTTTTCTCGGAAATATTGATGATTTCCAGGCAATTACCTTCCCTTATCGACTCATCCTTTACTGGAGGCATATCCCTGACACAAAATAACAATGATTTCCTTACGTTTTCTTTGTTTACTTATAAATTAGTACCAAAAAACAAGAGCAGGGAAAATAAACTTCAGCAAAAATCGAAGACGAATGAGCGAATGATGATGGAACGAATGGCCAACAGACGAACGCAGAACGCTGGTCGTTGACATTCTGAGTGAGTGAGTGAGTGATAAATTAATAGTAGGGAGGGGAGGGACGCTAACAAAAATTCCTCCTAACAATTCGATGACTTTATTTTAATGTATGTTTTTTTTTCAATATTATCACGTGGTAAGCTTATTGGGTTCTTAATCGTTGAATATTATGATTTGTTTGAAGCATATTTTAATGCTTCGATCCGACGCCATCTAAAATGAAATACTATTATTGAACTTGATTTAATAATAAAGCAATGTGAGTAGTATCTAAGGTATAATAAATGTTGAAAATTTTGGCTTTGATAGCATCAAACATTTTCATTCTGTTATAAAATTCAACACTCAATACTCAATTATGTTTATTCTGATTCTGTTAAAAATAGGATTTAAAATCATCTCTAAGGACCATTAATTAAGTCACTTTATCATAATATTGACAGAACAGAATCATATTGAAAGAAAGAAAGAAAGAAAAGAAAGAAAGTATTTCGCTCACCTNCTGAACTAAAATTGAATGGAATATGAAATAAAAGTAAATATCATCAGTTATAAAAATAATTTTATTTCTCAATATTGATTAACAGATTATTAGACACACATCACATAAAGATACATTACTTAAATCTAGTTAACTAATTATATATTATTAAAACACTATTAAAATAACTTTATAAAATTAGGTTAGTAAATCACTTTAATGAATAATGACCCCAAGCTAATGTTTCAGTTGAGTCCGGTATAATGTAGCGCTTGGAGTCATTATATGACAAACATATTTTGTTAATTTTTTGAGTAAAAATAACATGTTTCATGGATTTAAATCGATACATTTCAGCAAGTTGAATATTTTTATCGAATAAGCAAGACTTATAATTATCAAACTTTAATTTTTTTATCACACTTTTATTAACCCCTTTGGCTTTTGATATTATTTTATTATTTACCCTCATAGCATACATTTTTGATCGTAAACCTACAAATTCATTAAATATATTACCATTATGTTCATCTTTGAAATATCCTAATTTCTTCTTATTAACTAAAGGAAAAGCATAAATGTTATCTATCTTATAGTCGGAGGTATCAAAATGGTTTTCTAGATCCGGTTTAATTTCATCAAAAAATCTCTACAAAATATCTGATAGACAAGACTGATAAAAAAGAGGTAAGTGAAGAATTGGTTCAAAAGTAATAATAAAAGTGGGCGGTGCCGACTCGCGTCAAAATTTGTGAATGAAATACCGTTTGACCACGTTTGACCTAGGAGGGAGTTGCGCGATCGTAGGGCTGTCCAAAAATTAAAATAATAATTATTTATTTAGTTTTGTATGGGAAAATATTATTTATTAAATATTACGATATCCACTTTCTGACACCACTATAGTATTTATATGAGTATGTTAACATGGGCTAGTTTCGGCTCATATACCCATTTACCTAACACCCTGTATAACAACTTTAAATTTTGGAACTTCTTCTTCANGCCGAGCGATGGTTCAAATCCCGACAAACGATAAACGCCCCGTGTAATTTTTGCGAGGCCGAAGGCCGAGCTCCGAATGCGAGGCCGCAGGCCGAGCGCCGCGTAGGGCGAAGCCCGGAGCGGCCAGCATCGCAGATCTAGCTTTTGTAGCCCGCGTAGCGGGCGACCAAAGCTAGTTTACGTATATTGCTACCCAATGTGATCCAGGTTCAGTATCGGAGTTAAGATTACTGATCATGTAAACAGGTGTTGTTACATGAATTGGTATTCTATTCGCAGCAAACACATTAAATTCTAAGGAATGATATATTTTTTTCATGTATTTTTGAATTTGTAAAGTATCCATGATAGTAATAACAATATGTACGTAGTCCTACACACTCTAAATTTAACTACTAAAATCTACAGTAACATTCCTGTTTTTATCAATTTCAATAATATTATCAAATTCAGCATATACCATACAGTTAACAGTTTGTGTGAGAGCTGTTTCAAATCGAACTTCTAATCGAACACTACCATGTCGTATAAGATTCCAGTGAGCAGTTGAATTTGCTGATAAGTCTGGAGTTAAGTCAAAAGCCATTAGACAGTAACCATTCGCATAATATCTCTAGAAATTCCGTTTCCATCATTCAAGAAATGGATTCCAGTTCCAGAAAACAAAGTATGGTATGTTGAAGTAAACAAATTGTTATGAAATGCTGGCTGGAGGGCTTTAGATACCATCAATATATAAACTGAACGTGTTTATACTGTAATTATAAAAATCATACGGATTTTTTGTAAGAATACCATTGAATGCCGTATTGTCTACGAATCCAATTACACATCTTTTTGGTACTTGTCCAAGGAAAACATTATCAAGAGTTTTACCTTGAATCCCTGATGGAATAGTTAAAACTTTTACTTCAGCTCTAGTTATAGGATATTTGGCAGTAGTTGATGCTAAAACTTTTTGATGAGCAAGCAAAACTGATGGATTTATACGAGCTTTTCGTATCATAAGTGTTGCATCTACAATAGAAACTTTTAGTTTTACATCATTAGATGAACACATCAAATTAAACGCATCACGAGATCTTACTAACTTTACACACATTTCAACACCATTTATTAAAAAATTCTCTTGATTGAATATATCACCATGTAAATGTCCTATCATTTCTACTTCCTTGCTTTCTTTAACGAGGTTTTGTCTTTTCATGAATCCTTTGTTTGAATCATCCGTTGAATTCATGTTTCCAGCAGTATCTTCATACCAAAGTCCACAAGTAAGATGTGATTGTTTAGCTGGTTGAGCATAGTTTAGTAACGTTTCAATATATGCACGATAACCATAAGTATTATTTGGTGGTGAAACAAGTTTTTGATTTAAATAGACATCTAACTGACTAAATAGTGAGTGAAGCCAATTATTTACAGGAGCCACTGTAGTTGTAGACAACAATGGTGTTAAGTCCTGATTTAGAATTTTTGCTTTTATATGTATTAAGGTATGTGACAAATCAATGTAATCATCACCAGTCCCTGGGATTTGAAATTCTATAGGTCCATCATCACTTAGAGATGAAATTGGTTTATAGTGTATCCATTGTCCATTTTCAATACTAGTTTGAGTAGCCGGCAACGCAAATAAATCTAATTCAGACTTTATACATTCACAAGAATGATTATGTAAAAATGACATATTGTAAACTAGGAAAATATATCTTCAATGTAATTATTTTTAGTAGTCTTCTTTCCTTTTTTTAATGTTCTCAGTTTTGAATGTTGTGATCGACTGATACTTTTTAGTTGTTGACTTTTTCTTTTATATCCTGAGCCTCTCATTACACGATCTAATTTATCATCAGCTTTCCTTTTTAAGTTAGAAGTCGCTTCCTTGAGACGATCTCTGATTGATTCATCAAGTGGTTTAGTCTGTGTCATATCGGACACAGACTATAGCCCAACACCTGCATTTAATGCTTCTTTACCGATGACTTTAGCTCCATTTGATAGAAGAGGCAAAACAGATCGAAATAATACACCTAAAAAACTTCCAATACCATGTCCACGTTGATGTGATGCACCTTTATAAATTACCCCTACACCAGACCCAGCTTGATGTGTATAGTAATGTTCATAAGGACAAATATTGTTATTGTATTTTGAATACATTATTATTTTCGTATGAAATGTAGTTTAACGCAAGTCGTTCCAAATTGAAATGGAACATTTGCTCAAGTGTTCGTTCTTATATCTATTTCAATTGTATCAAATTCTCTTCGCATAACAGGTACATAATGTGGTGGAGAAAAAATTTGCATTCTGTTTGACCCATATGTATATTTTGCAGTGTCCATTGGAACTATTCTTAATAGTGAACATATGACATCACCAACCATTTGTGGTTCAATGATATCGCAATATATGAATAATTGTGATGGTAACCCTAAGTATAAATTGGGAGGAAATCGCCCGATTTTTTTAGTAGCAACATTTGTTTCTGGATCAAATCCGAACTGAAGACTTAACTTTGGTGAAAATTTTAAAGATATCAGTTTTTTATCTTCATGGGTTACAGTTATATGTTTTGATATTTTATCATGTCTTAATTTAAAAGATTCTCTAGAATTAACAGTAGATACAATATCATCGATATTATCATAACTGTATGGTGGTATTTGACTTTTGTATGTTACAATTGATTCATTCATTTCATCACCTGGAACTTTCATTCTTTTGGTAATGAATATAACGTTTTCTTGGTTTTGAACAGTAAACATAGTACATGGATATTGAAATTCTACAAGTCCAACTGACCATTCTCCATCTAGTTTAATTGATTTTGGTAACTTTGTACAAAAACTTGCTGTTTTATTTTCAGGAAAATATGTCATAGAACTGTTACTAGGTAAGGTTAAATAAAAACTGTCACCAGTCATGATTCTTCCAGGTGAGATGCTAAAATCCAACTATTAAATTTATTTGGATAACCTTTCCACTTGACTAACAATTCCTTTCTGTGACCAGAGTAACGAGAACGCACAATTTTATCTATTCTATGTTTCATATTAGAATCATATTGAACTTTTTGTAATTCTTTTTCGTAAAATGTTCCGGTAATAACTTCATTTTGTAGATCTTTCAAAGTGTATACCACACATGGAGATCTTTCTATAACTGATGTTATAATAAATATTTCATCACTCCAATTGGTTTCATAGCCTTTTTGAAAAATATGTTTATATTTTGTAATTCTAACGTAATCACCAACACAAAATTTCGGATTATATTTTGTTTTATTTTGATGTATGTTAACTTTTTTGTCAGAATATAAATTACACCAAACTGTCATTATGTTATTGGAATTTACATCACAAGGATTCATTTTTATGCTTCTATGAAAACTGTGTAAAGTAAAGCAAATCTTGCAATATGTCAATATAACGAAAAGTGTCGTTATGTGTAAAGTAACGCCACATTTTCATTTTTAAAGTTCTTTGAAATCTTTCCACTATACTTGCTTTAATATCGGGGTTATTAGTAGTACCTATAATAATTAATGTTCAGTGATTTTAAGAACATTTGAACATCTTTTGCAATAAACTCCGTTCCTTTATCTGATTGTAAATGTGTGGGAGTAACTTTCGCTTCCGCAAATATGCTAGCAAGACATTGTTTAACCGTATGGGAATTTTTTCTTTTCGTAGCTCTTGCATATGCATATTTACTGAATACATCAATAACACACAAAATGTATTTATAACCATCATTATATTCATTGTAAGATCTCATATCACTTAAATCAGCTTGCCAAAGTTCGTTTAAATTAGATAAGATATATTTGTTCCTAGAAAAGCGACGTTGTACTGGTTTATGTAAGGTGTATGTTTCCTGAGATTCCAACCATTGTTTTATTTCCTTAACAGTCATTTTACTTTTCATTGCATTTTTTAATTTATTTAAACTACCATATCCAGCAGGATGAGATACATCATAGTAAATATTGTGTATTTCTAATAAGGGGTCCATTTCTGCCAGTCTATCTTCTTTTTCACTTTTTCTTTAATAATTGGACTTGAATGGGGGGTCGAAAATTCAGATTCTTTTTCTACGTTTGATTCAAATCTCTTTCCAAAGTCGGGAGTATTAGACATAACATTAATAAAGGTCGCTCTTCTTGGGTTACCTATGTAACTCAAAGGTATTCTTAACTCTTTTAAAACAGAAGCAAACTCTGCCCAACCATTAGGAGAGCTATTTTTCAGAGGTCTAATAACATTATTCAGTAAGTCTACTATGTTGCTTTTGTAAATCTCCTTTTTATTGATAAAAACAGTACCTCCTTGGTTCCAGTAAATTTTATCTTTATTTTTCATCAAAATATCTAGTAAAAGTTCGCCTTTTACTTTATACGTTTTAGGTAGAAGTTGGATTAATTGTGATTTAGTGTAATTTTCATTGATAATGTCACTGTTTTCGTCTGTCTTCGAGGTGTCTTGTTTAATTTCTGAACCCTGATCTTGATTACTCACATTTTTATTATTTTCTGATTCACCAAAAGATAGTATGGGTATTTCAAAAGGTTTTCGACCTTGACTTATAAAATACAAATATCTTTGTAATGCTTGTAAATAAAGAGACCACTTTTCTCGGTCATCGGTTTTTGTTTTTAAAACTTTATGCATTTCTTCATCCAAGCGGGACAAGTTATGAACATTGCTGTTTGTGTTATCATTTTTTAGTTTTTCTATTGCTTCAGATTCAATTAATATCATTTTCTTGGCATTCTCCATCATGTATTTTATTTGACAATCGAATTAAATAATGCACTTAAAACAGATCCTATGATGATGGGTAAGAAATCACCACCTCTCTGTATAATTATTTTCTTCCTTAAATTATTTTTTCCTCTAGAAATAAGTTTTCTGAGAATGTTTTTATATTTATTTAATTTTTGTTTTTCTTTATCTGGAATGGGTATTTTACCATGAATAACATTATAAATGCATTCACAAATACAATTTATTTCTTCTTGGTTACAAGATTTTAATAATGCTTTACGAAATTTCGGTTTAAGTACATGTAATGCTTTTAGAAAATCTTTATGTGTAGTAACTCGTGTAATCATTGTTATGAAATGAGATCTTTTTGTTGGTATGCACTGTATTTATATCCCTTCTTAGCAATGTAACAGATGGTGTACTCATTTGGAAATACATTTGTTTTGAAACGATACATATCTTCAGTATTTTGTTTCAAGTCAATCATTAGATAACCATGAGCTTTATTGGTGGCATCTCTATAAGCATCCTCAACAAACTTTGAGTTTTCTGGGGAAAGTTGACGACTTAGATATCGAATTTGTGTTCTATCTCGGGGATTTTTGAAGTAAATGATGTAACTTGAGTTTAATGAGATATCTCGTTGCCCTTTTCCCTGGTGAAATAAATTTTGAGTNTGAACCACTACACCAAACGGCCGACAAATTATATATAGATATATTTGTTCCTAGAAAAGCGACGTTGTACTGGTTTATGTAAGGTGTATGTTTCCTGAGATTCCAACCATTGTTTTATTTCCTTAACAGTCATTTTACTTTTCATTGCATTTTTTAATTTATTTAAACTACCATATCCAGCAGGATGAGATACATCATAGTAAATATTGTGTTTTTCTAATAAGNGGTGAAATAAATTTTGAGTGATATAAAATACACTTAAATTTCGGTGATGACTTTCTTTGGTGAAAATATCGACAAAACGACCATCAATTTCCCTCATGAGATCATCAATTATTATAAGTTGAGGTTCCTTTCCATCAAACATATTTAAATTAGGAATACCCTGATAATAATTAACATTATTGAAATTGTACAGTGGTTGCATTTCATCATAACACCACAAGATATTTTGAAATCCTACATTACACATTTGTTTGATATTTTTAATAAACCCACATACAAAATTTGATTTACCACAACCACTAGGACCAGCAACAATAGCTGTGAAAGGATATTCAAAATGTATCATAATTAACTATGTAGGAATTAAAACGTGTATTCTGAACTAAAATTGAATGGAATATGAAATAAAAGTAAATATCATCAGTTATAAAAATAATTTTATTTCTCAATATTGATTAACAGATTATTAGACACACATCACATAAAGATACATTACTTAAATCTAGTTAACTAATTATATATTATTAAAACACTATTAAAATAACTTTATAAAATTAGGTTAGTAAATCACTTTAATGAATAATGACCCCAAGCTAATGTTTCAGTTGAGTCCGGTATAATGTAGCGCTTGGAGTCATTATATGACAAACATATTTTGTTAATTTTTTGAGTAAAAATAACATGTTTCATGGATTTAAATCGATACATTTCAGCAAGTTGAATATTTTTATCGAATAAGCAAGACTTATAATTATCAAACTTTAATTTTTTTATCACACTTTTATTAACCCCTTTGGCTTTTGATATTATTTTATTATTTACCCTCATAGCATACATTTTTGATCGTAAACCTACAAATTCATTAAATATATTACCATTATGTTCATCTTTGAAATATCCTAATTTCTTCTTATTAACTAAAGGAAAAGCATAAATGTTATCTATCTTATAGTCGGAGGTATCAAAATGGTTTTCTAGATCCGGTTTAATTTCATCAAAAAATCTCTACAAAATATCTGATAGACAAGACTGATAAAAAAGAGGTAAGTGAAGAATTGGTTCAAAAGTAATAATAAAAGTGGGCGGTGCCGACTCGCGTCAAAATTTGTGAATGAAATACCGTTTGACCACGTTTGACCTAGGAGGGAGTTGCGCGATCGTAGGGCTGTCCAAAAATTAAAATAATAATTATTTATTTAGTTTTGTATGGGAAAATATTATTTATTAAATATTACGATATCCACTTTCTGACACCACTATAGTATTTATATGAGTATGTTAACATGGGCTAGTTTCGGCTCATATACCCATTTACCTAACACCCTGTATAACAACTTTAAATTTTGGAACTTCTTCTTCATATATTTGTAGTGGAAATCATACATTAATGTTTTTGAAATATCTAGTATGCTAAATCCTAAATATATGGGTTTATTAAATAAAAGTTTTGTTTTTTTTTTAACTGGACCGCTACTAAATTTTCCGAAAAAATTGATAATCTTCATCAGACAAAGGGAAGTAGTAGTTTTTGAATGTATTTTCATCGAATGCAACATTACATTCGGATTCAGGAATCTGTAACTAAGGAAAGATATGCAACGTTAGTATAAAAAAGATATTACTTAAGAAAATTAAACAAAAATGTAGATTGAAGAACATTATAGTAAAATGATATTAATGTGTTACTTACCTCCATAGTTATGGATGTTATTGAGTCTTGTGTGTTGATAGGTATTGAATACGAATTCAGAGGAAGAAGTGTGAAGAAAGTAGTGATGTAGGTATTTATACCAGTATGGGTATTTATACCAGTAATGTCAATTTAGCAATGGATTTTTAATAGATATTATTAGTTAATAGTAACTTGTCTTGGAATGTGGTAGATGTTATGTTACTGGTTTCGGAATATAATGTGGTGAGTCATACAATAATGGAGTCATTAGTTGTTGGTAATTAATGAAGGAATAATTAACAAATAAAGTAGGACACACATTCGCGGATGTTTATCTCCGGATCCGTTGCAGATATGAAGCTGGGGATGCGTTTTTTTTTTGCCCCCGGAGTTTCGGATTTAGGTGAGCCAGAGTTGGGTGAGCCAGAACTCTCGAATCCCTACTACTTTTAGCTACGTGTAGTCGTTGTGGTTCACCATCTAACTCTATAATATGTAGATTTGTATTGGGCCGGTGGGTGACCTTGTTCTTGACACGCTGATGATGGTGGTATCATATCATCGTATTTTTTTCTATGGTGTAATACTTATTTAGTGTGCCGTGTGCCGCACTTACACCCGGCCCACTGACGCCACGAGTTTAGCAGAGCCCATACTTACACCCGTATTCACAAACATTAACTATGAGATCTCACAGTGCGCGTGGACGCACAGGGTGACACACGAACCAATCACAGAGCTCTATTCAACGCTGTGCGTTCGATTTGCTGCTTTACTTAATCAAACATCGTTTGTGAATACGGCCGTTAGTATAAAACCAGTTCATCGGACAGGGCGATAACCTGTAATCGAAAACAGTCGCCAAGCGTTGAGGAGAGGCACGACAATCAGTAACGTTTTGTAACTCGCGGGGACAGCTTGTGTTTTGTTATCATTTCGAACATTTTGAGGCGCATAACTCGAATAATCATGCCGAAAGTTTACAACTTTGGTGCTGGCCCAGCCAAACTGCCTGAAGAAGTAAGTTTTATAACATTAAAGTTTAAAACTAGATTCAATTAATTTTAATTTATTAAATTATGTTCACCTTGCGCCGTCCAAAGGATGTTTAACGAACAAGTCTGTGAACATACCTTCGTTATGAAACGAGTTAGTATATTCGTAATAGATCTATGGATACTACATAAAAATACATTCTTTTACAGGTTTATGAAATTATGAGAAACGAACTGACGAACTTCGAAGGATCAGGCATAAGTTTATTAGAGACAAGTCACAGAACTCCGAAGTATATGAATCTGAATAACGAAATTCAAGATGTAGTAAGACGGTTGTTGTAAGTAGCAAACATAATTTGATAATAATATTCATAAATTATGAACGGTATTCAATGATATTAATTTATCGACAGGATGTAGGTAGGTACACTGGATGAAATGAATGTGTCACAAATCTTTATTAACTAAACATTAAACAGTACCTAACGTACTTTGTCTCCTATGTGTTTTGAAAATATGCATTAAGTTTAAGGTCATGTTTTTCTTAGTTACTTGTGGTTACACCGAAGGCTGATTATAAAACTTCTATTTCAGAGATGTCCCAGCAAATTACAAAATCTTGTTCCTTGCTGGAGGTGGTCAAGGCCAGTTTGCAGCTGTGCCTCTCAACCTGATCTCCAGAACTGGGACTGCAGACTACGTTGTTACTGGTAAATTTTGGGGTGGTTTTTCTAAAGCCGAAAATCTCCTTTTTCCTTTAAGATTTCCTACTTCTCCCACAAAAAAGTTCAATGAAGTCGCTTAAGTATTTGGGCATCAAAATTCACTCAGGGTTTCTCACTCGGTGGACCGACGAACGATCTGGTGAAAGTCGCATGAAATCCCTGGGGAGGCCTTTGTCCAGCAGTGGACGGCATTATTATTAATTTCTACTTATCAAAATTAAAATGGCTCTAATATAAAGAAGGTAGGTTACCTAAGACACATCGTGGTAGTAAATTAACAAAGTATTTTATTCCCAGGTGCTTGGTCAGCGAAAGCGGCAAAAGAAGCCAAGAAATACGGCAAAGTGAACATGGTTATTCCCCCCACGGACAAATATGTGGACATTCCACACCAATCCACCTGGAACCTCGACCCCAACGCTTCTTATGTACACATCTGCACCAACGAAACTATTCATGGTAAGTCCGATAGTTTAAGCTTAAGGCGCCATAGAATCTAGACATGACAGTAGCGTGTCCAGCCAAGTTCAAGTAACCGAACTGGCGAGCAGCACCGTGTGTATTATTACACGATAAATGTTCCTGCATCTAATTCCATTTATTAAACCCTTGAAAAATAGTTATATTTCTTTTATTAATTTATTTACTATGGTTCCACCTACTTCAAGAAAAGTACTGTCTCTTGTTACAATTTTTACAAAAATGTATTTTATGTGCTGGCGATTGTTCATAGTTAATTATTAAGATCTAATTTGCTGATTCAATATATTTTGCAATCAATGAGCCATTAGTAGCGTAAGAATAACTAATAACAAGCGAGTGGCAATTTCAATAATCTATTGAGTGTGACGATTTCATTATAAGAGTCTGATTCAAGTAAGTTAATACGATTACAATTTACTTACCTAGGATTTATTTAAATCAGAGAAGAAAAGCACTACTTATTGACTGTTGGGGTTTAAAAGGTGTACCGTTTTTTCCTAAATTACTTATTAGTACAAAAATCATAGTTTTTTTTATCCACAACGAGGAATTTCTGGCTGACCTGCAGTATACAACAATATTGTTATGGTGCCGAAAGAAAATTTCGATTACCTATACCATAATATCGACAAAACTCCACTTTCTTTTGTTTACAGGAGTCGAATTTGACTTCATCCCAGACACAAAAGGAGTACCATTGGTAGCTGATATGTCATCCAACTTCATGTCGAAGAAGGTTGACGTCTCCAAGGTATGCTCTCGCCATAATTTTCACCCAAGGGTTTATTATTATGTTCCTTATTACCTACACTTTTTTCATTTTAGTTTGGCGTAATTTACGGTGGAGCGCAAAAGAACATTGGTACATCAGGAGTTGCTCTGGTCATAGTCAGGGAAGATCTTCTAAACCAGGCTCTCCCGATCTGTCCTTCAATTCTGGACTGGACAGTAAACCACAAAAACAACTCCATTTTGAACACACCACCTATGTTTGCGTAAGTTTATTTTATCACTTTTTGTTATTGCGAAAATATCTTAAGAATGACCCCTATAATACCTACTCAAAAACGTCTGAACATTGCATTATGTTATCACCATGTTTTATTTACGAAAAAGTGTCTGGTGATATTGTTTGTCCTTGTTTAATTTTTTTTAATTTAATTTGACCTTTGATTTATCTGCAGTTATACGACGACCTGCAAAACCAAATTAATGAATACCAGTAAAACATTCTTCTTAGTTTCTTTAGCTAAGTACATTGTTGTGCGTCAATAGCTCGTGTTTGTATTCCATTACGATCAATGTTTACGATTATTGTCTACTCATTCACGTAGCAATTATCACTAGCATTATCTGCTTCAATGGTCCGATTGCATTCTTCCAGCATCTACATAATGGGGCGTGTCCTCCAATGGATTGAGAAGAACGGTGGTCTCGACGAGATGGCTGCTCGAGCCACGAAGAAAGCCTCTTTAATCTATGGCATTATCGAGGAATCCAATGGTTTCTACTACGCGCCGGTAGCCAAGAATGTCAGGAGTAAAATGAACATTCCGTTCAGAATCGGATCTGCTGAAGGGAACGATGCGTTGGAGAAGGAATTCCTGAAAGGAGCTGAGGAGTTGGGACTGATCCAACTGAAGGGTCACAGGTTAGTTGATTCATCATCATAATCATTTCAGCCACAGGTTACAGGACTCCACTGCTGAACATAGGACCGGTTGGTAGCGACATGCATCCAGAGCCTTTCTGCTGGCTTTATGAGGTCGCCAGTCCACCCTAGTTAGTTGATTGGATTCGACAAATTATTATTGCAATTTGTTAAAGCGTCCTATGGTGAAACTATGCCGCTCGAAGCACGGAAAATGATTACGCGATAAGAAATACGAGTAGGTACCTAGGTATACCTACCTAAACTTATTTCTTATCGGACAGTCAGGTTAATATTGAACTCAAAATAAAAAAAGTTTTTGTTGAACTTGTTGAGCTAGTGTATGAAATCCCGACAGTCGGGATTATCTAAACCCAATAGGTACTCAATAGTTTACTTTAGATAGATATTTACATTTTTTGTTTTTAGAGCTAAGATAAAAATCGTGTCATCCATTTTGTGATATTTTTCCTTACTAATTAGTTACTTGTCGGTCAACTGTATTATCTTATCAATTGATTAAATTGTTTTATTTATCTTTATTACCTATTTTACTAAGTCAGTTGTTTATTAGTAATTTAAGAGATTAATGTAATGACATTTTATTAATTATTTTTCTCCTTTCAGAGATGTCGGCGGAATCCGTGCTTCCACCTACAACGCGGTCACATTAGAAGAAGTACAAACGTTGGCCAAATACATGAAAGACTTTTATACTAAGCATTCTAAGTAAACGTATTTATTTAAATTTGTTAGACGTATTATAATTTTGTAATACCTAGCTGTAAGTGCCCAATTGGCTGTGCCTTATTTAATGTTATTTTTTAAATAAACGCTTTTGATATTATCTTTTGATATTTTATTTGTGAATCCAAAGACTACCTATGACTCTATAATCAAACCACGTACCTACAAAGCAAAAATATCCGAACGGTAGGTAAGTGTTGGACTTACCAACCAACTCGATCCGAGGAACGCTGGTTTGAACCCCGCTACCTACTTCAGATTTTTTTTTCTAAGGTATTCATTGAATTACTTATCGTCGTATCACCTTTATTGAAGCTTGCTTTAAAATATTTCTATTATTTTTTTATTATCTTTCGTTACTAAGCCCGTTCTGCCTTCTTATCAGAGCTCTCTACAGAGATAAGTGTTCACTTATTTTTCACCTGTTTAGGTAGGTACTTACCAATTATTTTCACGATAACCATCATTCAGTAAATTATTGTTGTGATGTCAATATTAAAGATATTATAAAGATCTACAGTCAGCTTGACTGCCAATATAAACCCAACCAGTGAAGGTCAAGTTTTTCCCGGAAGATGGATGGAGTTCATGAATGGATGGATAAAAGAAATTATTTTAATTAGAAGATTAAAATGTGGTGTGGTGTAGGTAACAAACATTTTTGTTGGAGGATGCAGGCCATTATATTTTCGGTTTTAAGATAGGTAATAGATTTGTCCAGAAAAACCAGTTTTTTTTAGAAAAATCCGGTAGGTACCTACCCGGTGATCAAACTGGTTTGTTCAAAAACCCGATAGGAGAACTTGATAATGCTGGCTAAACTAGATAATGATAATGAAGGGCCAAGATGGTTAACAAAATTAATTAAATAGATAATCCAAATTAAATTAGCTTCAACCATATTGAAGAAATAGAGAGCACGGGAACTAAGTAGTAGCTACTTACCAATTTTAGATTTGGATCGGATTATAAATGAAAGTATTCAGTAATTTATTGTAATGTTTTATTAAAAATTTTGTATAAAATATTACTGTTAACGTAATCATAAAAATGTGGTAATAAATTGTGATGGAATGTCGATATTTCATTCAATTCACGAGATTCTACAATGAGTATTCCCAACAAGGTTTTATACTTACGAACTTTATACAGGTTTAGTTACAAAAAATAAACATTATTTTTCAATAAAATTGACACAAGTCAACGATTTACAAAAATTGCTTACAGAAATGTTTCATTAGCTATAAATTATTGTTATTACCAAGTCTTATAATAAAATATTTTAGTACAAAAATAATGATATGATACTTTACACAATTTTATTATTTTCTCTACAATCATAAAATCATTCTTACATTTATGCATACACATTACACACATTCACTCTCCTTGCTTATAATAAGGTTAAAAATACAGTCCAGTTTATAATACAAACAAACTTGACTTTCACTATAAATCCACTTGTGTTAATATCAACAGTTCTTTTATTATTTTGTTATATTGATAGGTAGGTCATAATAGCAAAGAGCATGGAAATAAAATGAACTCTATGTATTTACACAATATGTAAGATTTTCAAAGATTTCCTTAATTAAACTTTGTTTTTCTATTATTATCTATTCTGTGGTGAGGTCCCATAGTTACAATATAAACGAATCATCAATATCAACACGTGGATTGCTCTACCATAAATATACAAATATTTCAATAAAATTAATATTTACATGATATTGAAATGTTGGAATGTTGTTACAATGTCCCTGCAAAGTCTGCTTTCCTGTATGGCAGTGTTCGCGTAAAATACTTGAGCATTTTGTTCGTTGATCATAATCTCAGAACATCAACACATTCACTGTTTCGCAATACATTTATTTTATTTGTGTCTTCCTTACGTTATTCTATTGTGTTTTTGTGACAATATAAAAGTATTTTTGGTGGGGGCTGTAAATAAACAGTGAGTGTGTTAATACACATTCTTTGTAAGCTACACCTAAAACTTAAACTAACTGAATACAAATTCTACAATAACATACTGAATCACTCTCTCGGTTGAAAACCGCATTAGTACAGGCGTAGTGAAAACTTATGGCGGTTCATACTACCTGCTATACCTACTTAATTAATACATTGCATTGATCTTTTTTCATCGTTTTGTTTTTTATTAGATACGTCCACAAACCTAGCAAAAGGCCAGATGATTTAAAAAATAATAAACTCTTTAGTTATTAGTTACAACAAATATCTAAATGTGATGTAAATTTGAAATGTCTAAAAACTTGTTGAACTTGGCCCTATTTAACTACGCCCATACGCGAGTGACACCTGTCATCTCTAGATACATCCAATAATATTGACTATTATTGTTCGGGAACACCGAGAATTGAAACTAGTACGATATAGTATTATGAAAGATTGACCAGAATACGACAAAACAGTCCTTCGTTGCGTTTACTGACCTTCACTGTCGCTGTCACTCTTATCTGGAACAAACAAATTCTGTTAGCATTGCATCACGATCGTGATACAGGGTGTAAGGGTCTGGTTGGAAAAACTTAAAATCAAGTCTTTTATCTAGGCAAAACACTAAACTGTTTTTTAAAGAATTTCGTAATACTTAGACCCGTAAACTCCTCGTGGTATGCTAAATGCTTGTGTTATGAGTGGGTTCTCCACAATAATCGAGCGGTTGGAGGGTTCGATCCCGCGTTCCTCGGATCTCGAGTCGAAAAGTCCGACACCTTTCGTCGTTTGGCAATAGGCTAGTTTCCTAAAAAATTTTTTTTAGTCCGTCATGTTTAATATCAAAAAATATTGGACACATAATATATTTTTATTTGTCAATCTAACAAATAATTACATAGTTATGGTGCGTTGAAGTTACGCACGACGCCACAACGTGCGGCACTTTTATGCACGCATTGACGTCATGGGCCTCTTCTTATGAACTTTGGCGCGCTTTATCTCTTTAAATTTTCATTACTTTGAAAAAGTGAAAAATACGTGTAGAGTATTTTTTGATAAGTTAACTGAGGGACTAATTAAAACTCTTGCTTTTTGACCCAGGAAACATCCCTATTGTCTTATGAGCTCTGAACCTTCCTTTATCATAATGAAGTTATCATTTTACAAAATTAGTTTACATTACACAGTTTTTTATCATAGAGCCACTTTTAAAGATTTTAAAAACACAGTTTGCATTTACAGTTTAAATTCATATGTCTTTTACTTACACCCTGTATGTATTTGTGTAGATAACGAGAAAAGGTCAGCTGGGAAGCGGTCATTGGGTCAGACGTACTACAAAAGGATTGCAGCATGCTATGTAATTGTGCTTATCTACTCTCAAATAACTAGAGTTTGCGTCACCATCACCATATTTTGATATCTTGCTTTCGACCAATAGCTGTCGAAATATCGAAAGTATGAACGATCTACTAGATTATTTTTAGGTAATTTAACGTATCAATAAGTTAATATCATTCTCATGCTTCATGATGCTATATTATCTTGTTTATTACCTACCAATAAGTATAAGAATAGTTTGCGCACGATTGTACCACATAGATACAGCGCGGTGCGCAAATTTTATCACTGTTTATTATTGTAGATACTTAAAAAACTGGATCTAGTCAGTTTTTGGATCATTTGATTTAGTATTTTTTCCGCTTGTTACAAATATTAAGATTGTGTCCATGGACTTCCCTTGGGCCGGTAGTCAATTAAGATAAGGGGTCATAAGGGGTGATTTACTCGTACCCATTAAGTATGTTCTACTTGGAAATGGTAGGTAACTATTTACTGAATTTTCTCATAGCCGCAATGGTTTGAATTATAGAATTAAGTAGTACCGTTTAGTAAGATTTTAATTACATGCGAGCGAAGCAGTTAGGCATTTATTACAATAGAATTATTTGCAAACTAGCTTTCCGCCCGCGGCTTCGCCCGCGTGGAATTTTGTCTGTCACAGAAAAACTTTATCGCGCGCGTCCCTATTTAAAAAACCGGGATAAAAACTATCCTATGTTCTTTCCCGGGACTCAAACTATCTCTATGCCAAATTTCATCAAAATCGGTTGCGAGGTTTAAGCGGGAAAGCGTAACAGACAGACAGACAGACAGACAGAGTTACTTTCGCATTTATAATATTAGTTGGGATTACCCCACCAAGCAAAGCATCCCAGTGCGTCAAGCTGCATTCAAAAACAGAAAAGTGCGCACTAACTAATGTGCTACAAAATACTGACCTTTCTTACCCGGGTACGCGTGCCTCTTTAATCTGTCGTAGAGGTCTTCCTTGGTTCCGTAGATGCTGGCGTTTGACCTGGCCAGGCTGTTCATTTTGCCGTTCATTCCGTTGTGAAGGCTCTCCTTCATGTAGGTTTCGTTGTAGAAGTTAGGCATCTCCCAGCCGTCCTCTTCGTCGTCGTAGTAATGCGCGTAGGTCGAATGATGGGAAGGCGCGATGGATTCGGCGTACGGCGTGTGCGCACCGTAGTAGAAGTTCACTTGCGACCCGTTCTGGTCTATCGCTGGCGTCAGCGTCTTCTTTGGTTCTTTCCTCTTTGTTGACCTGGAAATTTAGTTTGTTAGCTGATTTATTCTATATACAGTTTATTATATTTTATCGTTGTAGAGTGGGCGTACCTATTCAAGATTCGAGTCAAGATCGTAACGACTGAGAAGAAGACATTTTTGCTGATTATGAAATGCCGACAACTTTGTATTGGTGTAGCGTCTTATCAATCGTTCTGCTTTATCACGACTCTACATATACAGATTCCCCCCTACATTTTCATACTAAACGTCACATTAAAATAGTATTCAACTAGGGTGTAACTTTAAGAAGGGGGATTAGGTTGAATGAGGGCTATCGTTTTAGCGCTCACCAGTTAGCGCCACTGTAGAGTAAGGTCCTGTCACTTGCTAGTTACGAAGCCAGTGGCACCAACTGGTGAGCGCTAAAGTGGTAGGAGGACTATCGCATTTGCACTCATCAAGATGGCGCCACTGTAGAGTAAGGTCCTGTCAATCGCCAGGGGTGCCAACTGTTAAGTATAAAAACGATAGCCCTCATTGACATAGCGAGAAACCTTATTTATGCCTCTCCTTTCAAAAATTCTTACCTGGCACAGATCATCCATACAAGCAGCACCAGGAAGATAATGAATATGACACCGCCGGCGACGCCGCTGGCGATGTACGCAAACTCGCTCTTGTCCCTGCAATGGCGGCCGGTGAATGACCCCGTGCATCTGCACGAGGGCTCGCCGCGCGTGTCCTTCACGCACTCGCCTCCGTTGTCGCAGAAGTCCACGCATACGTCTGGAAAGAGTTCGAATTATGAATTTTTGATTTTTTAAATATACACTGGCTGCGTTCTTGCAAGTCACAGAAAAAAGAATAGAATTCGAAATTCGAATTTGAAATTTTCAGGGGTGACGAATGACTTGTTTGTCAATTCGCCCCTTTATGAAATCTGACGTGTTTATGTATAGTCAGCTACCCGTTTACCAGTAGTTACCAGCTTACCAGCTAAACGTTTTATAAATTACTTATTGCACTACGACCTAGGTAGAGTGAGGTAGGTAGGACCTCTTGCTGTACCAAAACTCTAAACTCTGCTTTCAGTAATGTTTGACTGACAAACTACAAGCTTTATATTTAAAGTTAAAAAAATAATCTGGTAGTAATTAGTCTGGCTGGAGGTTCGTAAAAAAAACTTAAGATTAACTAACCAGAAGTACTTAATTAAATAATGTTTCACAGTTTCCATATTTTTGCAGATGTGTTTTCTCTCAAGCGCCCTCTAGTATCAATCGCTATAACCATGGTAGAGTCGTAGTGCGAAATAATAGATAGAGCAGAAGGTTTGAGGTTCGAGGTACACGCTCAAAATATACAGTGTTTTAAACATTCGCCAGATGTAGCTGTCTACCTCTGTTTAACTTTGTCAATATTTTACTAAACATTCGCGTATTAGGTAATTCACTTTAATAAGAATACAAGTGCACTTGTAGCGTGATCGATTAAAATGTTCCATGTGATTTTTGAATATTTACTCATTAATTCTTTAAATATTTAATTATTTATTTATTGTCTCATAAAACGTAAGCACAAGAACTTTACTTTTACCCGTAATTACAACCATTACTATTAGGTCTCACAGTGCGCGTGGACGCACAGGGTGACACACGAACCATTCACAGAGCTCTATTCAACGCTGTGCGTTCGATTTGCTGCTTCACTTAAGCAAGCATCGTTTGTGAATACGGGCGTAAGTTACGTCGTTGATCTTCACACGTTGTCGTTGAACTCACCTGTGCACACTTTTCCAGTGCCATTGAAGCCGGGCTTGCACTGACACTTGAACTCGTTGGTGTCTGACATAAGTAGACAATACGCGTTCACGTCGCAATGCATCTCAGGGCCGCTCATCTCGCATGGGTTGGTGCAGTCCGATTCTGAAGTCTGTAAAAAAAATTACATTTATTATCATTACTGGTCTTTCGAGCTGGATAGTCGTGCACATTTTTCTGGTCCTTCGAGCCGGATCGTCGAGCATGGACTTACATTACTTACCTAAAAATAAGTATAAATTTAACTTCTAAAGTGCTATTGTAGTTTTGATGACGGAGACGGAACAAGCGCTAAATTCTTTCAAAATCGCGGGAAGAAGTTATAAATGGTGCAAAACTTATACCGCTTATTCATGTTCAAGCCTTTTAAACGCAACATTACATGGGGCGTTTAGTTTATGGCCACCACTGGCGCTATCGACCATAAAGCACACGTTGTAAAACGTAGCATATTTTCAGCTTAAATTGTTTCACGAAACCAACATTGTTTAGTTACGATGAAGACGTGTGAAGTGTGTCGTTAGTAGGAAAACTAGGAAATGTGGATTTGATGGTGTTTTGTCCGTTTTGCTTGGGGGCACGCCATTGCCCTCTCGTCTACCAACATGAATGGCGTAAAAGGAATGCATGATGATATTAGCTGGACAGTTAACAAAAGCTAGCTAGGGGACAACAAATACGTCGTAATACTCGTAATAGAGACGTGCTCTTAATGTGAATATGTTGCTAATTATGGCAGTATAATTATATTGTGAAAGTGCTACTATTATTATGTTTTAGGATTGAATCGAATGCAAAAGTCTACCAGATGATAATTTATACAGGGTGGAATTTTGTAATGCCACCTGAAGGAAAAGTACTCTAATACTGTAGATAGAAAATTTTACTCAAAGGAAACATTCCTTTATAGGTCTTCTGTCACTTTCCATTGTCATTAATGTAAAAAATGAAATACTAACCGCTCCAGCTTCTTTAGTACTCGTGTTGATGGGACAAGCCTTGCAGTCAGTTTGTTGAGCTTCCGACTGGTATGTACCCTTCTTGCACTGTATGCACGAGTTCAGTGTAACGTTGAGATAGGAACCTGGAAAAAATAATATTTTGTTATTAACGGTGATGAAAACACAAAATTTATCAATCTCTACATGGAAAATGCCAATGGTCTTGCAGTGTTATTACTGGGCCTGCAGACTGATGATTTCAGTTTGTCGCTAGCAGCGCAAGCGGTTTCGAGAAGTTCAATAGAAAAAATACAAATAATATACAGTTTTGCAATGTACCAGGCCTGCAGGTGGAGTGCACTGGTAGGGTGAGGCAGCCCCTGTTTTCGGCATGGTGGCACCAGGCGGTTAGAATGCGCAGGGGGCTCCGATGGTACTTAGAAGTCTTACATTGAAAACGCAGTAGTGTTACATGGTACTTACCAAGCCTGCTGAGAGTTAGAGTGCACTCACTGGTCAGGCGAGGTAGCACCAGTTTGAGGAGTGTCGGTACCAGGCGAGTAGAAAACGCAAGTGTCCTTCAGTACTTGGAAGATACAGTCACGGGTGTTACGTGGTACTTACCAGGTCTACACACAGGTAGAGTGCACTGGTCAGGTGAGGTAGCTCCAGATTGAGAACTGGTGCTACCAGGCGAGCAGGGAGAGCAGGGGGCTCCCAGTAGTACTTTGAAGTTTTACATAGGGAACAAAAAATAGAATAGTCCTATATTGAACTTACCAGGTCTGCAGACAGGTAGAGTGCATTGGTCTGGTGATGCAGCACCAGTTTGAGGAGTGGTGGTACCAGGCGGGCAGGAAGCGCAGGCGGCTCCCGAGCCGATAGAACGCCAAGTGCCACGGGGACACGCCTCGCAACCACCTTCGCTGCTTAGCTGTTCGCCTGGAAAAGAAAATGACACGTAAACTAGCAGTCGGGTCACCTGGCTAAATGATTACCGTCACCCATGGAACAATGTCGCCCATGGAACAATCTAAGGATTCAATTACGTCAACGGGACGCTATTGATTTACCCCCGACATCTTTCATCTGCGGAATGTATCTCATGAACCGTAATAGGTATTTCTTGGGAAACAAAACATTTGTTCTCATAAATAAATCTGCTTTCGTCTTTCTATTACTGTGTTAAAGTGACGAAAACTAAAGAAAGGTCTCTCTCCAAGTTGTTTACAGTAAATCGCACAGATTTAGGAGACCGTGAGCCAACTTTTGATAGTTCTGTCGACACTACGAGACGCTTCTGTATACCTACTCGGCGCGGAAAATCAGGTTATATCCTACCCAATAACTTTCAGAGATAGCACTTAACGTAAGCCACTAAAGTAGAATAAATTATGCTATTAACAACATTTTATGTTCGCAGGGTGAAATTATTGAAATGGTTTTCGAACAAGAATTATCTAAGCGTTACTGTCTTTGTAGAAAGCTTTATTTATTAAAATTGCGAGCTAAATTGTTCGGTTATTATGTAGACAAAATACGCAGAAAATAAAACAATCAGATTTTTTTTTCGTTCAGACCCTTTCAGAAACAGTTTTTTTTCCCAAAAATAGGTGCCATAATTTTCAACTTAGGCCTTATGTAAAAACTCTAAAACCCTTATGGCCCTTCTCTTCTATCTATACCTTTAAAGGCCTTATGTAAAAGGAGTTGCACTACCTTACTTTTACTGTAAGTATAACATGTACGCTGCCCCCGCTGTCTTGGTGGTGTCTGCATCCCTTAATTATTGACCAACGATGACCGTTTACCCTACAAACCGGTGGTATCTGGTCCCCTATTGGATATGGCTGTCATGTCCTCTACTGGATACTGGTGTCCATACCTTCCAGTAGCGGTGTTTTTTTTTTATAGTTTGACAGATTTTTGACGTTTGTCAAAAAAAAGTAAGATGGTGCCCAGTCTTAGTTCTTTTGACTTTTGACTATTCAAATTCTTAATAGCTTATTTATCCATTATTCATTTGTCTTACCTGAAGGACAGTCCTCCCTGCACTCAGCGGCGGACACGGCCTCAGTCGCTCTCGTGGTCTGGCCCCTCGGGCACGATATGCAAGCGAAGGCGCCTTCCTTCGGCTGGTATGACCCATGCCCGCAAGGCCTGCATAGTTCTGACTCGGCGTCGTAGTATTTGCCGGCGGCGCATCTCTCTGGAATTATCAAGTAAGTTAGATTAAAAATTAAGGAATAAGGCTATGGGTTTGTGAATGCAAGACTGTAAGTAGTTTTGCAACCAAAACTTAATCAAGTAATCCGATTTTTAGTGGCTTTGAAATCGACAAACGTTAATCAATTGAGATCGTAAATTCGTGACCATACAATCCTCATCTCGGCGGTTCAAAACAACTATATCATTGACGAGTATGCCAATAATACACTATTGTTTTACTCCACGTCTATAATATTTTTATAGCTCATGCTCATCATCACAGTGGAAAATCATGTTGTTTTCTCAAAAAAAAAAAAAACATTTTTTTTCCATTCAATTAAATAGATAATTGACCAAATTATAATGGGAAAGTGAATTTTCCTGGCAATGATGAAGCTCAGTGTTGGTGGTTTTACTGCCAGAACTGGCTCATTTAGAAGGCTCTTGGTGGTATTTTTAGGTTCAAATTTCTGGAATCTGGTGGAATTTTGCTTTTAATCTAGTGCTTTAATAAAATCCGAGGTTGCAACACTGATGCAGCTGTGAAAAATGTATACCACAATACCTTTGCAATCAGCAGCGCTTCTCGCGCCGGCCGCTTGGGTGACTCCTGGCTGGCCAGCGATGGAGGGGCAAGTGCTGCACTGCAGTTGACCGGCCTCGGACTGGTAGGTGCCAGTCGGACACGGCTTGCAGGAGTCGCTCGCCACGTCGAGGTAGGTACCAACGGCGCAGGCCACTGGAAGTAAATTGTTATTATTTAAAATCCTACGTTCTGCAGTGGACGTCCTGAAAAGATGATGATGACCATACTAGGTCTTACAAATCACTTAGTATCTTTTCAACCAGAGATTTCAAGTGCAATACTAAATAAGTAAATAAGGTTAGATTTTTTACACGCTGTCTAGTCTAGGTAAAGCTTGTCCGATGAGTGCTTACTAAACGACGGATATCACCATACTTAAATACTTTTTTGCAAAATAAATTACTCCATTAATAAACAAAAGTAACATGTTTATGCACACAAATGATGTTTGTATACGAGAAGGCTGCCGAAAAAAATATATTATCCACAAATTGTGGCTTTCATTGTTGACCACAATGAAAGAGCTCGTAGCTTGTTTTTCATCATCATCACCAATTTTCAGCTGCTCTGAGAGCAGTGCTCTCGTACGTATATTTCTAGTTATAGACGATAGTGGATAGGATCATGTTTTCACAGTGATCTTGTTCACATAGGAAGCGAACCTCGAACCCCCGATCGACAGTTCAATTCTCTAACCATTATAGTCCAGGCGATAAGCAGCAATGGGAAAGGGTTCAGTAATTTCCGTTCGCAAAATGAATGTCCCAAAAAGGGATGATTGGATTGATTGATTTATTGCCATAAAGTACATGTAAAACACAACGTACATGCTTTGGCTCTTACAAGAAGCTGCTTGGTGCTTTCAGTTCGTATACGTACCGCAATCAGGGGCCATAACGACCTGTCCCATCGGGCAGGCGTAGTCAGACACCAACTGCAAACTCGCTGGGTCAGGGACTGTGTTCGGAAGGATGTTTCGTACGTCGAATTGTTCGTCTTCGAGAATAAGCTTCTCCAGTAACCTTTGCACAGTGGATCGCTCGTTGTTTCCGCTGTGGATGACTGGGTCGCTGAAAAGTTTATGGAATCGTCTCAAAAAGCTGTTCGGTCTTCGTGTATCAGCTTTTAATAACAGATTACGTTTATTTTGACAATTCGAGTAGTTCCTCGCACCAACAAGAGATGGCGCTGCCTTTACGTTATATCGCGGTAGGGTATCAAAAGAGAGTATATTAAGAAATATCCAAACATTATTTCAGTAACTTCATTAACATTTTGAAAATAAAACCTCACCCAAAAGGTACTAGAAAATGCTTTTCTATAGAAAACACAACAGTAACATAGATTTTACATAAAATGAATAGTGATAAAGTGCCACTACGGAACATGCAAACAACTTACTTGACAGACGGGAATGAGATCTCAACGCTGTAGGTATCGCCCGCTTGTCTGCCCTCCCTACTGCTCCGAGTCCTAAGTGCCAGATAAAATAACATGCAATTGTGTTGGAAGAGCAACATGCCGACGAGAAATACAGTAATAGGAACTTTTAGTGCGATACAACGGAACAGAAATAAATGACTTGAATTTTACACGAGTGTGCTTGTAATTGCGTTTTGCAACACATGCGAAGTGCACTACATAGGTTTAGATATACGTAGACAACTGCTCTAGGAAATTTTAAGTGCGATTGGATACCATATCCCTCTACGAGAGTTTACTGTGTTTACTAGTGATACAGTAAGAACTTTTCTAATGATTACAGTTTACTAAAGCTGCATTAGAGGTGCGGTAGCAGTCAGTTGTTATCTAATTGACTATAATGACGTATATTTATTAGCATCGCTATTTCAGCTTATTGTTCCCATTACAACGTAAACGCCTTCTTATTCGCGTCATTTAACTGACCACTACCGCTCACCGCAGACTGATTAATACTCGTAATGTATTAACCCATAGTATACTCACTCTTCCACTGGGATGATTGCGTCCAGAACATACGTGTCTTCAGTAGGAGTGCTAGGCGGAGACGATACTTGACGTGTCTGTCGTACATTGGCTCTGTGGTCACATTTCACGTTTATGTCCAGTTCTTTGCATTCCCGAGTACCTTGAAAATTAAAGATATTACACGTGAAAAAGTCTATTCTCTGAGGAGTTGATTCTGCATCTTATTTTAGATCGTCTTACCATCAATAGCATAAGAGCAGAAGTTCCAGTCTCTATTGAGCTGGTTGATAGCGGTGCGGACTTTCTGTCGGAGTACGCCTTGACCGGCGTCATTGCAGAGAACCGAACTTGGGAACAGCATGGAGATCTTAAATACTCGTTGAGCTGGTGAAGCCGCTGTAAAAAAATATTACTCATTAATTTTTTGTTAAGACACTATTGCCAAACTAATTATTTTTGGAATTAAGAATGTTGACTAAAAAGTGAAGAAAAAGTTTCATTCTTACGTGAGCAAGCTGGGTAGACCAATGGTAGACTGGGGTCGGTAGTCGGCCGCCAGAAGCCTTCAGCTCCGCAAGTGTAGAATGGCGGTACTTGTTGTGAGAATCGTAGGCCGTCGCGACAGGCGATTTCACACACCTTGAACTGACCACCCGCTCCCCAATCGCGACAGGATTGGTAGCCTCCAAGTGGGTCCACCAGAGGAGGACAGAATTCAGCTGATGGAAAAAATCAATCAATGAATACATAATCTACAAATAATAAAATAAATAGATTACCTATTTGGAAAATCGTAACTTACATAATACTGTTACTTTGAAGGTGCAAGTAGCTGTATTGCCAGCAGCATCATACGCGACGTAAGCAATGTCGTATGTTCCCCAAGCAAGGTTCTGGCCAGGTTTGTGGCCTGAATTCTCCACAATCCTTGCTACTCCAACGTTGTCACTGAAGACTGGCGCATCCCAGCTGACGACAGATGAACCGTTCTTGGCAATGACCCAGAGATCTCCAGGGCAGCGGTCGACACGTGGTGGTTCCTTGTCTACTTGTAATTGCTCGCATTTAGATCCAGTGTATCCGTTAGGACAAACTCTTTGGCCGCAGTGTGAAGGAACTATCCTCTCTACTCCACCAACGATATCGTCGTATCCAGCCCAAGTAAGGGCCAGGCCGTTGTATAGGACGGGCTCAGTGCGACAATCGCGGACTTGCTTCTGAATTTCGTTAGTGAAATCGAGAGCGCGGTTCCATATTTGTACTTTCGTCAGGTGACCTTGGAAGCCTGATTCTGTGTATGCCTTAGGGTTGTCAGATTGAGGTTTACCCAGGGTCACCCATAGACTGAAAAGTAAAACGTTTTGTTTTAACATTAGCACATGGCAAATACAATAATTATGTTACATACACTGATATTATCAAAACTTACTATTGAGGTAGTGATCGTCCACTGCCGTATCCCTCAAGTTTGCTGGCGATTAGTCCTTCAGTGATTAAAGTTAACTCTCCACCGTTGCTGCCGTCCCAGACTAACGCAACGTGATGCCATTGTCCGTCGTTAACTGTTGCAAACTCTCCGAAACTCAAGTACACGTCTTGAAGTTCAGGGAATAGGGATACTTGTACACCGTTCGAATGCGCCTGGATTACTGGCCGTCTGTTAAGAGCGATGTGGGAATTGCTGCAAATCAAGATTTATAAATAAGGTTCAACGTAAAGAAGTGATTTTCGCGTGTCATTAATTAATGACTTGAGCAAAAACCGCTCATGTTAGTTAAAACCATGATTGTAGTTTTTTTTGGCAGAAATGCTGATCACGTACTAATATGTATACTGTCTATAATATTCCATAGAATAAGTTGTCGTTCCAAAAAGTATATTCTGACATCTTTCGTTAAAGTAAAAAATAAATAAAGGAATATTTATTCAGTTTAAGTACCTGACGCTGTAAGCCGTGAAGAAAACGCCACCCTCATCTTGTTGTGTGTACTGTACCCACATAGCGATCGTCAAACTGTCTGTGGAGCCTGTATCGAATGGTACCACTTGAGCGGCGCTCGAGCGCAGAGGGTCGCTGAAGTACAGGTCATAGTCGACACTTATAGCTGGAAAAATATATTCCTTTTATTATGAGGACACAATTAAGACAATTGTTCAGAAGATACGTTCGTAAAAATACAGACGAGACAAAATATTGTTGTATTATTTTAGGATGAGATGATTTCATTTAAAACTTTCTTACTTTTTCTGCAGTCGTCACCAGTGAGATTGAATGGGCACTGGCAATAGAAGCGTCCAGGTAGATCGATGCATGTAGCGGAAGGCGGGCATGAGTTCTCCTTGCAGTCAATAATGTCTTCATTACAGTTCTTTCCTTTGAAGCCTGGTGCGCAGATGCAAGTGTAATCTTCGCCTTCGTCGATGCAAGTGGCTCCATTCTGGCAGAGACCAGCTTCACACGCGTCGAATTCGTATTGGCAACCAACGCCGACGAAGTCCTGAGAGCATGTGCAGTTCAGACCAGAGCCGAAGTCTTGGCATTTGCCGCCGTGCATACAAGGGCTGCCAATACACCTTTCGGGTGCAGTTTCACATTGTTTTCCGTCTGTTCCACTTGGGCACCTGTAAATTTTTTATTAAAATTAATGTACAGATCAATCTTAACGCAGTAGAATCTTAGTTGTAATATGTATGTGATATTTTCCAAGAAAAACGTGTAGTCTAACATTGGAAATATTCTCGAAGGAGTAAATAAAAGTGAAAAGAAAACTTACACGCAGAAGAAATCTTGGAAGAGATCAATACATCTGGCGTTGTTTTGACAAGGTCTGTTCATGCAGTTTCCGATATCCTTTTCGCAGCGCTTTCCAGTCCAGCCCGGTTGGCAGCTACATTTGTAACCTCCTATTTCATCTTTGCAAGATCCGCCGTTGAAACAAGGATCTGACGCACAGTCATCGATATTAGTTTCACACATCTCTCCAGTGAAGCCTTCTCTGCACATGCATTGGTATTTATTGTCAAGATCCACACATCGCTCTGTACCCACCGGGTTGCATGGTTCATTCAAGCATTCATCAATTGCCGTCTCACATTGCAGACCAATGAAACCTGGGCGACATTTACAAATGAAGCCATCTATTTGGTCAACACAAGTTGCTCCGTTCTGGCATGGGTCCGATAAACAGTCATCAATCGTATGCTGACATCTCTTCCCGGTGTATCCAGCTTCACAAATGCAAGTAAAGTCGTCAATACTGTCAATACATTGGCCTCCGTTTTCACAAGGCGAAATAACGCACTCGTTGATGTTGATATCGCAAGAAGGTCCGGACCAACCTGGGTCACAAATGCATTGATGAACGAATAGTTTGTCAACACAAATACCATGTTTGCATGGTTCATTAGAGCACAAGTCAATCTTTTCGTGGCATCGTTTTCCTGTGAAACCTTGTGGACACGCGCAACTGAAGTCATTTACTAAATCTGTGCAAGCCGCGCCAAGAAGACACGGTTTCTCAATACAGTCGTCAGTGTTAATTTCACATAGTTGTCCTTCCCATCCTGGCAGACATTCGCACTTAAATCTTCCTTGTTGGAGAGCAGTACAAGTAGCGCCGTTTGAGCAGGGGTTGCCATTAGCTGTGCAGGGATCAACCTGAAACGAATTTAACTCATGTTAAATCACACATAACTTAGATAATACGTATAAGAGAAATATGAATAAAGAACTAATCTTCCTTACCGTTATATCACAATCAATACCAGTGTAACCAGACCTACATAGACAAGTATAATTGTTAAAGCCGGGTTCATCTTTGCACATAGCTCGTTCAGGGCAGGTGTCATTTCTGCACTCTGATCGTTCTTCCTGACAGTTAATGCCACCATATCCTGTTGGGCATGAGCATCTATAACCCTGGGGTAGGTCAGTACAAGTTCCTCCGTTGTAGCAAGGTTGGCTAGCACATTCATCAATATCGATTTCACATCTGCGTCCGGAGAAACCAGCTGGGCAATAGCATTGGACGCCGTGACCTTTAGGTACACAAAGTCCACCGTGTTGACAAGCGCTGTTAGAGCACTCTACTGGAATACATTCCTCGAGTCCTGTAGCTCCTGTGCCAACTGTTTTCATGTTGGTAGGGCATTCGCTGCATAGTGTTTGACCAGCTAAGTTCTGGTAGAAGTTTCTAGGACATTGCGAGCAAGGAGCTAATCCAGTTGGCGAGTAAGTACCGGGAGCACATTTGGCTCTGCACCTGTCTCGACCAGGTGCTGCAGGTTGGTATGTAAAGGTGTTTACAGGACAAGCTTGGCAGTCTTTGAATCCACCGATTGGTGGCTCTCCAGAGTAGCTGTTTCGTGGGCATTCTAGACATGGTACTAAACCAGTTGGCGAGAAAGTACCAAATCCGCAGACAGGTACACAGTCGGTGATATCCTTAGAGCCCTCTTCTCTCGTGAATGTTCCTTGTGGGCACTTAAGGCATGAACCTTGTCTCGCTTGGTTTTGGAAATATCCACGTGGGCACATAGTACAGGACTTTTGTTTTTCACCAGCAAAAGTACCGGCCGGACAGTGCACTGAAATAACGTAAATAAATTAATAGTTAGGTACTGTGGTCTGTTATTTACGTAAATAAAATATTGCATTCTTATAATTTAAAATGGGAGCAAATTACTTACAGCATCTTGGTACGTCATTCGTGTCCATATTTAATACTTCGCCGACGCTGCAAGTGAAACCTCTGGAAATCGAACTCCTTATAGCTCTCAACGGAGGACATTGATTGCCAATTGACGAAACATTAAGCACAGGTTCAATAAGTGCGCTGGCGTGAGGGACCGATAGATCGAAAATCAGATTCAATGTTGAACCGCAAAGATCGTAAACTTGTGTCTGTCTGATGTCAGGTGTAATCGATAAAACGAAGTCCATTTTCACGACGTTTTCGTCCAAGAGAGTTGGCATGACTTTGACGAAGGTAACGTTTACGTTTACGTTGACGGCAGAACAACGTTGGGATAGCCTCTCGTTTAGGATATTGTCATATTGTGCTAACAAGTCTTTGTATTGAGGTAAGCAGGCGTTTGAGACGGCACCGAGTGCGCGGTACTGCACACTTGATATTACATGATAGGCGGCTTGTTGCGTATCTGAAAAATAAAATATTTAGTTAATTCACATTTTACGTACAGTTAGGAACTTGTGCCAAAAAAAAAAGTATAATAGATTCCTCACTTTCAGAAACACAATCCGGCACAACGGCGGTTGGGACCCATTGTCGTTTGGTTTCGCAAATGAAAGTCTTTACAGGTTCACCGTCTGTGAATCGGAACCCTGGGCTGCAAGTAGCTATGCACTGTATTCCTCTATCTCCAGGGAGGCAGTTGAGGGCTCCGTGTGCTGGTGGCATCAATTCCCAATCCACGCATGGTGTAGCTTGAACCGAAACCTGTAAGTAGTAAAGTTTTAAGCATAAAGTAGGTAGATACCTAACATTTTTTGCATTTTTTATACTACAGTATATTAAAAGAAACTTACTTGGAAGTTACATTGAGCCTTATTTCCATACTTGTCCGAGGCGATCACTGTGACATTTTCGTAGCCACGAATGGGTATAACTGCGCGCTCCGGAATGAATTTTAGGAAGACTTCGCCTGATGCATCCGATGCGTTTATACGTCTGCGAGTTTCGTTGAAGTTTACAGCGTAACTGTCCTGTTTATCGACTAATTCAATGACGTAACTTTGCGGGCAGCTCAGTTTTGGAGGAGTATAGTCAGGCACGGTAATGTTCACTTCACAAATGGCGACGTTGCCATCGAAATCAAAGGCAACATAACGAACAACCATGTTGTGGAATACTTGTATTGGAGTTCTGAAATGCTGTGGAGTAACTTCTAAACGGGCAATTGCGCCCGAGTTATCCGTTGCGGTCGGCTCCGTAAAGTTTACAGGAAGAAGACCCCCGTTTACATCAGTTTGCACTATAATTGGTTGCTGAGGACAGTTTTGGAAAACTGGAGGCTCGTTATCTGTAAACATAAGACATTGTTATATTACTCGTATGTGTGAAAATGAAGTTTGATTAAATTATTTGGAAATGAAAATACTTTTTTAATATATTATTTTTATGTAGTTTTAGATTTAACTTACCAACACAAGGAGAGTATCCATAATCGTAACCCAACAGTGGATCAGGAGAAGGTTCATCGCATCCCATCAGTTCAAATTTCAAACAAGCATTATCCATGAAACTGACGATGCCCAAAATCACGAACCTAGCCTGTACATATTTAGGCAGCGTAATCATTGCCAGTTCTCCGTAGTTTCCTGGGTCTCGCATCGTTAGGTTGAAGTTAGGGTAGTAAATAACATAGTTGGCACTTTCGTTGGTCTTGTAAAACAGTCTGATTTCGGTAGGTCGGCCAACAATGTCGGATGTCACGACACCCTTTACTAAAATGGCTTTCACTCTGTGTACTTTTCCTAGGTCGACACTCACGTATGTGAAAGCTTCTTGTTTACCACACCAACCCGTTACTGAGTTAAGCCTAATGTTTCTGGCCTCGTAATTAGGTCTTTCTGAGGTAGCGTTAATGGCCGAGTCAGGTATTCTTCCAGATGCAAGTCCGAGAGGCTTAATGACTTTGCATTCTGGTTCCCGTATGCAAGTGATGGGTCTAGGGTTGATCAGGATGTATCCAGGTCTCGAGCATCCGAATAAAACTTCAGATCCATGTTCATAGCTTCTTGCGATTTGATAACCATCAGCTGGCCTGCCTGGGTCCTCGCATACTGGTCCTTCGCACCTTAGGTCTCCGAAGTCCCAAATGCCGTTGGCTTGACATCTAACAATATTGTCGTGCTTGCTAGATTGCCCTGCCATTTTGAAAGTATTTTGGCAACCGAAGAAGAAAGAGCTTTGGTATTTTGTGTCAACAAGTGGACTGTAGACGAATCCTGGAGTTGGCATCGGCACGCCACAGTCTTTTCTGGGACATTGTGGTTGAGCACCAGACAACCAGTAATCGGGAAAACCCTGCAATAAAAATATAATTAAAAACGTCATCTTAGTAAATAATCCACATTAAGATTGTTTTAACGCATCCTACTTACTGGTTTAGGATCGTAAACACACTGTCTGAAAGATGATGTCAATGTGTTTCTTAGGTGTCGCCCTGGAGACGTGCAAGTGACTGTTACGTTGTCCCTGTAAGGTACTAATACACTTTCTGGGTCGTCCCTTATGACCTTCAGTCCATCGTTTTTATCATCAGATAAAGTTACACAACGAGCATCTGGAAAATAAAAATTAATTAGCATCTTAGTAAATAAACAAATATCTTCTAAGAATAAAATTCTTGATGTTTATAATCTTACATTGACATTCAGGAGCTGTTCCATTCCATGTGCCACTTGATGTACAAAGAAGTGATGAGAATCCTGACATAACATATCCGAAATCACATTGGAATTGTACAATATCACCAAAGTGGAACGATTTCTTTGTAGACAGCAGTTTTCCATTTTCGGGCGACAAAAGAGGGGGGCACATGACGGGTACACAAGACTTATTTCTTTGGTAAGTATCGCCATCTCGTTCACCAGTTTCAGATGTTTCAATAGCGAAACCAGCTGTTCCATTGCTTGAGTACAGTTCATAACCAAGGTTGCAAGAACATGAGAAGTTTCCAGGCCTGTAATAGATTACATATTTTAGATAGAATATGAAAAATAGTAATTAATGAATTTTATACAATAATTGGTTAATTGTATGCTTACGTGTTAATACACTTCTGTTCACATCCACCGTTGTTTTCCGAACATTCATTGATGTCATTGCAGTCCAATCGAGCACATCCCATAATTTCAATCTTCAAACAAGGAGCGCCTACGTAGTCTTGGATCTTGAATTTGACATATTGCGCCTCAATGGGCACTGGCAGGTTCAAAACTGATAGAGTAGGTTCTAGGATACGGAATTCAACAGCAGTACCGTCTGGGTTCGTATAATCTTTGAAGACGTCAGTCAAGTCATTAGTGTATTGAATTCTAATCGCGGAAGTAAAAGCAATGTTGCCATCAGCTCGCATCACACTCATGGTTCTGAAACCTCTGATGATAGTTGGCGCTCTCAAGTCCACTTGAATCCAGTTTGCTCCAGCTTCCAAGTTGTTTCCACACCATCCACCTCCATTGTTCAATCGGACCATCTGATAAAAAAGAGAATAATAAGTAGGATAACATAGAAAGTATAACATAACACTAGATAACATTTCCTATACAGTGAAGAGTCTATCTCTGTTGACTTACTCCTTTGTGATATCCAGGCTCCGGAGCTGAAGTTGTAATAGATTCATCGGGCACAGCACCATTGATAAGTCCGAGATCGCCCACTGGTCTGCAGTCCAAGCTGGGAGCGAACCCAGGTCGGCAAGGGCAGAAGAAACCACCTTGCGTGTTCTTGCAGTCTGTGGAGACACTGTCGCATTGGCTGCTCAGACATTCGTTGATGTCATCACAGGTAGGAGCCGCGTCGAAGTCTTGATTCGGTCCGCACTTTAGCACACTGGGTCCGTTTAGTTTATATCCTGTAGATAAAATGTAAAATTAAGTTCAAAGGTGTAAAAAGATGATGCACCTCATAGGTAAAAGTAATTAGGCATTCGAGCTTGAATTGACACAATTTCACAATTACTAAATTACCTTTATAACATTGTACTCGAGCTTCGTCTCCGTACATGTATATTCTGGTCTGGTCCACTATAAATCCGTTCTTAATTTCAGGGAACTTCGGGCACAAAGCCTTTGAGCAGGAAGGAACGTCTCCAGACCAAGTTCCGTTGCTCATACACAAGAGGACAGGCTGACCTGACCGCACGTAACCAGGCTCACATTCATATCGTACGATTGTACCATAGCTACGCCCTCCGCCGTTAAGAATTGTGACGTTTGCGTGTGGGACTTCTGGTAAGGCCACACATTGAGATGCTGTAAGAGAAAGGTCATATTATAATGATTAGCCAAATAAATTAAAGCTCGTTAAAACATTTTGCTGAGAATGTGCCTTACCAAGACAAGTAGGCGTTCTTTCCCATCTGCCATCAGCTAAACAAGAAATCCTCTCAATAGGCTGGCCAGTTGGGAAAGCAAATCCAGCGTAACATTGGTACGTCGCGACACCTCGATAAGTGACATTGGTTGATCCAATAGAGAATCCGTTGTCGATTTGTGGCACTGGTCCACAATATACCTCTGTCAAGAAAATAAAGTTATCAGTAAGTAAATTGATAAGCCATAAGAGTAAGAAATAAAATGATAAATTAAGTATAAAATACCTTGGCAACTCGGTATGTATGTGGTTGACCATTTTCCACCGTCTAAACATTGAGTTGTGATTCTAGATTTACCCGTTGCAAATTCTTGGCCAATAGGGCATGTAAATGTGATAACTGTACCAAATGCGGTATCTCTGTTTGATGCTAATGCTCCGATTCCGGACTTGAGAGGTGGGCAGTCTGTAAATTGACAAATAGATTGTTATAAATAAATGCTTCCAGAATAATACACACACTAAAATTTTAATTTATTATGTAATAAAACTACCTGCTGAGAACGTTGCCTTCCATCCCTCGCCGTTATGTAATGCATCAGATACAAATCTTATTAACATTTCACCGCTAGATGCAGTAAGTGTTATTCTAGGTTTCACCGTAAATCCATTTTCAGAGTGTAATCTCAGTCCATTTGTACTAGACCCGTCAAAAACTTGTACAACATCAGATGGGTGGATATTGAATTCGTCGAATTTGAGAGACAAGGGACCACCATTGGGGTTCTTTATTCTGTATAAACATTCCTGGTTATTAGGATAGTTAGTTAGACCGTATGCGGGTGAAGTGAAAGTTCCATTGGACGCAATAATTGTTGCTTTACATCCTTGAGAATATCTCATGTTGAAACCTTTCTTAGAATCTCCCAAACTTGTCCTGAAGTACATGTATAAATGGTTCGTAGTAGAAATAACTACCTTTTGGTTTTCTTCACCTGGGCCTGTTAAGCGAGCAAGCACTGGGCTAGATGGAGTATTTCCATCTTTGATGACTATGTAATCTCTGTTCATACCTAACTCTAGGTCTTCGATTTCCAATGAGATAATACGGCCAGGTTGAGCTTCAATTATGTACATGCATTCCAAACCACCCGGACAGCCGACTGGGTAGCCAGGAGAAGTTAAAACTTGACCTTGGGGAGTAGCTCTAAGAATACCACCACAGTTTGAAGATTCTGTTTTCCATGATGCACGGAAACCTTTCCTTTCGACTGATCCATCCGTGCTGAATTTTATAATCATGAAGTTCGAAGCGGATACAAAAAGTTTTGTCGATAAATCTTGTTTCCCTGATAGGGTCGCAAGATTGACTGATTTGTCTTCGGTTCTGCCGCCCACCAGAATTTGAACAGTGTCGAAAGACTTTTCAGTTTCAAAATCTTGGAACTGTAAAACAATGTTTTGGCCTTGAGGACCTTCTAAAGTCCATTTACAATCGCTGAAGGGTGGGTACTTGTGAGGATAGTTAGGGCTCTCTAAGACGTCCCCACTGCTGGCCATGTAAAAGTGACACTCGGAAGCGCAGTCCATTTCGTCGGACGCATCGCCACAATCGTCTTGCTTGTCACATTTGAAGGCTGAGTTTATGCATCTTCCGTTTGAACAATGGAAGGTTCCTAAAAGTAAAAGCGAGTTAAAGCTATTGTTTAAAGTACGTTAACATTGACTTTCAATTACCATTTGTTTATTAGCGCATTCGTTTCATTGAATGGTTACTTACCAGCAGGACAGGCGGTGGCTTTGCACATGAACGGCAGAAGAGTTTCGCAAGTGGTGAGTTCCCATGATTGGACGTCAGACGTGATGTGAACGTCTACGCATTCTCCATTTTTGGGATTTGGTTGTCGGAGATCCCAAAATCCTGCGTACTGTGATACCAAAGCACCGGCAGCTGATTCGAGTGTGTTTGTTCTGAGGTCGTCGACAGTAGCAAGTCCGAGCCAATAGTGGTTATTGCTAAGACTAGTAGGGACCATGCTAGCTGTCATGTTGTTTTCTATGTAACTGTCTACTACCATCAGTTCGCTGCCATACCTGGATAACAAAAAAACTTTATTAGTAAAATCTTCTTTCGGTTGCTAATTTCAAGTAGGTATCAATCTTTTTAAAAATATATTACCTTCGACATAGCTCGGCAGCTTTTTCCCATGAATGTCTGATATTGAAGAATTTGTAACAGTGTAACCCCTTTAACTCCCATCCTGTAACAAAATGAAAATGAAATTAAAACAAATAAATCTGGTAATCCAAACACAAGAGTAAAAGTTGTTTACGTAATGCTCTGTGACTGTGGGCTATGTAAATTCTTGAATTTCCTATGTGAGTGATTTTTGTGTACGTAACGTTTTAACATCCCATGAAGACTCATTAGTTGTTTAAACATAACTTTCGCCTAAAGGGCTAGAGAAAATATTAGAAATATTTGCTATCACTTTTTGATACAACGCCAGAAAGCGGAAATATTCATAGGTATGTAGATACTTTTCATTTTAAGCACGAGTTTGGATGAGTTAATAATAGGTTACACATAAATGTGTTGTATTTTTGTGAAGATAATATTTTTCTACAGAACATGGATCACTATTCAAATACGTTACTCGTTACAGGTACTTTGTATTCAGAAAGTACAGAAAATGTCATTTGAATTTATAATCTTAAAAGCACTTCAACCAATTGCTTTTTGTTTGTTTCATTAAATAAAGTTTTACTTATTCGCAAACTTTCTAACGTTGATTTTACTTTCTCTGTACACTGTTTTTCAAACACTTCATTTTAAGAGTCCGTGGTCAATGTCAAACTCGTTATTTAGAAGGGATTTCATTGCGAATTTGAAATTCATATCAGTACATTTGTTATTCACGTCGCGGCAGAGGAAAATAATTTCGCGAAAAATTTGCATTATTAGTTTCGCCAGGTAGCCAGGCACCGTCAGTCCAATTTGTAAGGGCTGCGGTAAACACCAGATTACAACGGATTACACTATTGATCTCACCGAACCCGGTTTGTACTGAAAAGGTATTAAATACGATCACAGCTACAGCTAAAACGGTTTGATAGTACTGATTTGGGATTAAACCGTTTTCAACAGGTGTCACCAACTATCCTACAGATTGGGGTTGCATCAGCCTTCCGTTTTCACTTGGTAATGAGTTTCGCATTGAATAGCCAGAATAAAGGGACGAGTGAGTTTGGAGGTTTATGAATAACATACGGAACGGAATATTATGAAATAAATTTACATTCTGCGATCATTTTGTTTGCATTGTACTACGTTTTTTCTGCTCCTGTGACATACATAAGCGTTAATGTAAAGGGAATTTTTTTAAATATGAACCACACTTCATCAATAAATTAAACCATTCATAAAAAGATGGACATACTATACGTACCGGAAATACCCCTTAGTATTTCCGGTTTCTCAGAGGAGTGCATGGTGGTGGAACATGGTGATGATTGTTAATGGGGAAATTCCAAGTAAACTTCTAAAATATGCTTCAAGAAGTGTACTACAATATACCACAGAATTTGTTTCCAGCAACATTGAAAGAAATTGTATGCTAGTACGTGTTCAATCAACATCCGTGCATGCCGCTAAAAAGTAAGTGATCACAAATAGAGCGTGAGTTTGACGGCTGATCGTGAATGCGCGATGTTTTCACGCTCCGGCGGCGACACCCGCAACACGATGCAATGTTTGGCCCACTTATGTTATATTACACTCGCGAAATGCAATGCATGCGAATTTGCAGACTGTTCCTTTATTTACACCGATTCACCATTTTTTTCGCGCATTCTTTTAATGTCGGCTACTAATTTATCATTGAGCTTTGTAGGTCTAACTGTATTCTACATTATTGTTTACATTCAGGCAATGAAACTATTACTCAGCAACTAAAGTTGAGATTTCAGCAAAGTAGGAATTCAAACTTGGTTTACATAGTTAGATTGTCGGTCACGTGAGTCTAGCGATTTTTGCCTTTACCTGCGCAGTCGTGTGCACATGACCTAGCTATTTAACTATAAAACAATACCTAAACCGCTGCGTGTGACACGACAAAGAACTTGTGAGAATATTTTTTAGGCTCAAACAAAACAGCTAAAGTTATAAATAAAGTGAGACTAATGTGCGAAAGAAATTCCTATACATCAAAAGAGGCAAGATGCTACATTTCCCGTTGAATTTTAAATGCTTGCAAACCTTAAACGGTCTTAAGATTAGACAGTTTGGAATGAATCTTTCAAGTTTGAATTTTAAAAGAAGTCGAACGCAATGTAACGGAAGTAATGGAGGAGAATTGAAGTGGATACGTTCAGTTCTCTGGCTGATGAATGTTCATTGATCTGAGAGTGCTATTCCCACGTCGATAGTCATGGATGGCTGACTTTATAACTGTCCTGTATCTCAATTTCAGATGTCAGCGGGTTGCTTCGCCGGTTGCATTGAGAGCCCTCTTAGACCCGTAACTATAGACTCGTGCGGGGCAAATAGCAATACGGAAGCCGAGATTGGGTTACGGCACGGGTATGAGCAATTAGGGGACAATTTCTAAGCAAGACGTCTGGGGGCTGTAGAGCAGTAGCTATTGACTATGCTATTGATATAACAGTCTGACTGTAACAGCTATACATGACGCAATTTGGGACTGTAACAATATAACTGTGTACGGGTAAGGTAACGTCAACGCCCTGGGCTGTTTGTTATCTTTAGATGTTTTCATGATCAGATTCAAGACGGTTAAAGCTTTCGGATTTTGTCAGTAGGCAACATTGGCTTGACTTTTTCCTCGTTACTCCAAATTCCCAATACCAACATCAATTCGTCAGAACGCAATAAAATTAATATGATTCGTTAACCAACATCCTTAGATCTTATACATGCATGAGATTAAAAGTCACCGGTGAGTCACGATCGTGCTATGTGACCGAGGTGGTGCCTTTCACTCATTATGATTGAGCCTTCAAGGCTGTTTGTGTCCCGATCGGCTGTATCAACGTAAGCTTGCATTGTTTAGTCAATACTAAACGCATGCAAGTAGATAAGTACGTACGTTACCTTTGGGTCTCAAAGAGAAAAAAGTTTTCAATGCTACGCGTTGATTTTATCTGCTTACATAGACACTGCTTTGTGCTGATGCCGTAGGTAAGTATCACTATTTATAAGAGTTCTAAGTTATTTATTCGAGTTATAATTGTATTCATGTACCTACTCAATCACTAATACTTTATGCCTTCAAAGTAACTACGAAATTACTAATGAATGAAAAATAAAAGTATAAAATCCTATTAGAAACTCTATTCACCTAATTAAAAGCTTGATAGCCGAAGTTAAAAAAGAAGGAAACTAATGAAAATAATTAGTAGAGCTCAGACAGAAACGTGTCTTGGCTAATTAAAGTTGCTATTTGAAATAGTATCTAAGTTAAAAAGGTGAAGTTTAAAAATAACACGATTTTGTGCAACGTCGTGATACTCGTAAATTCGTATGAATCAATATACTCACTAGCTAGGTATTGTAAATGTTTTTGTATTGTAAGAATATAGAAGACCAGTAGTTTTAATTTGTTTCATAACAGTTCTTTTCTTCTCTATTCCTCGTATTATCTGTAATTACTTGATTGACAGCTCTGTACATCGTTACGTAACTAATAAAATTCTCATGATTGAGCCTGTCGGTGATATAGTAAGTTTTTTACATATACGATACCTACCGTAAAATGTGCTAATGTTATCATTAATGCTCATTACGTGAACACAACGAGGTTTACAATTGAATTATCTTTCTCATCTAAATTACTGCATCTTATGGCTGATCTAGCGTGCGTTAGCAGACCGGCTGTGTTCTCATTAGAAACAGTAATCAGAAGTCAATATGAGGATTACTCATCAAATAATTAACTTTTTAAAAAAATAAAACCGACTTCAAATGCGTGAACACAAAAAAAAACTAAAAATTAAAAATATTGCGTATAAAAAAGTTCATCCCCAATTTTCCACCCTTGGGGGTGAAATATTTTCTTCAAATTCGCATGAAACCACCCTTTTGATAATACCTATTCAACAAAAAAATAATCGTTCAAATTGATTTATAATCGGCGGAGATATTGCGTATAAAAAAGTTAATCCCCAATTTTACACCTTTGGGGGTTGTTTTTTCTATTATTAAATTTAAATGGGACCACCCTTGAGGTATTACCTATACGCCGAAAAAAGATTTGTTCAAATCGGTTCATAATTGGCGGAGTTATCGCGTAACAAACATAGAAAAAAAAAAAACATACGGGTCGAATTGAGAACCTCCTCCTTTTTTTTGAAGTCGGTTGAAAACTATCTACCTATATCTTTATTGAACATTACCGCACCTAATGCTATGATTACCTACGCTAATTTTGAAATGGCTGTGGGCTTTGAAAATTAAATTTGTTATAGATGTCAGCATCTGAGACTACTCAGCTGGCCAGATGTGACCTAAAATAGTTGGAATTGTAATATTACGTTCATTTTCATCGGATTAAGTTGCGAACCTGACTACGACATCTCTTGTTGCGCTACGTCAACCTACAGTTCAATTGCCTAAGCTATTATTCTGGAAGCAAACGTAGATATAGTAAGATTTGCACGCTCAATAAATGACAGTGTGACATCTGCCTTACTAAACAACTGACCCAGTTTGCAATGCTCCAAATGTCAAGTCAGATGCGTGCCAAGTGTAAAGACGACACTATATCGAGCTAAACACTGAAGTCTCTTATGCAGTTGTATTATGGGTGAATTTACAACAAAAATATACAATTTGATGTGCTGTCATCTACAAGCTTGATGCGTAACCAAACAATAACTTTGATGTTGCGCCGTTAAATCTGTCGCTCGCGTCGACACGTATTAGATGAAGGCACATTAGTTATACCTATCGCGATTTCAAGCCAGCTGCTACATTATGTCAATTAGTACGCTTCAACAGCTTTATAGGTTTTGGCATGTTGCAAAAATCAATTTCCCCTTTACTGCAAACGGTTTTCAGAGGTTTTCAGGCTATACCTAATTAATTAGGCATCGCGCTAAGATTGTATCCGGAAGGAGGATCGTGAACTACGATAGAAGGGACTACATAAATGGTAGTAGGAGAAAGGCACTGGTGATCTCGCGATCATATTCTCAATACATAAATGTATAACATAAAATACCGATTTTACCGATATAGCTA